TGGTACCAGGGACCAAACTCAGGTAAAGCTGCTTTTTGACACATTATTTTGCTTACCATTTAGTGTAATTCTCAGCCGGCCCACTGCTTTTAGTTTTAGGATGCTTTAGGAATTTATTTGCTGATACGGTATACTTTACCTTCAGGAAGCTTTATCAGATGTGTTCATCAAATGGTCCTTTATGTTAAATCTTGTTTTTACATAATTTACATAGCTTAATAGTTTTCTAACATGTACATTAATGTTTTTAGATTCATAAGCTGTTAGTTTTAAATCAGAAATCACTGAGGCTTTAAAACTTCAAAAATTATTACTTTAATTTTTAAGACTTTCTTTTAAGGTCAAATATAGTAGAAAGTAGATGAGTCCTTCATGAAAACTTAGTTTATCAGTAGTTAATGCATACATAGTCTACTTTCAAATCTGCTCTCCAACTTTTTTGAATGAAATATCTGAGATGATGTATCATTTCAGTGTACATACAAAAGGTTTATTTTTTAAAATTTTTTATTTGTTTGTTTATTTTTTGAGACAGGGTCTTGCTATGTAGTTCAGGCTGGCCTTGAATTCACTGCGCTCATTATGTAGCCTGGGCTGGCCTCAGATTCACAGGGATCCTCCTGCCTCACCCTCCAGGGTGATGGGATTACAGGCATGCACCACCACACCAGGCTAAAAGATTTCTTTTTAAACATAATATTTAATTATATTTCTTTTATATTATGGATCATCTAGTGATTCTTTTCACTACTTTTAAGAATCAAAATCAGTCTTTTTTTAGGGTAGTCTGTCATTAATTTCTGTTGCTGTTTGTGTTTGCTGAAGGTAATACCACTTTACATGGTGAATTAAATTTATGAATTGCTATGGTAGCTTATTGTATCATTGCTAAAAATACGTAATTTTTACATTTAAATCTTAAGTCATTTATAGTATTGAGCTATAAATGAATGTGTCTATAGAATACTTGTTTTAAAAGTTTGAGTAAAAATTATTTTTGAATGCATAATGCCAAGCAATTGAAATAATGAAGTGTTTCTGTTTGTTATGAATTAAATTATGACTACTTTCCATTATGTTTTCCATTGTGTTATAAAAATAGTAATCTTTACGAGTTGAAAATATTTATAGAATTTTAGGATTTTAAGAGTGAGCATTCTTTTCTTTACTGTAAAATTAATCAGTGCAGTTTTTATTAGACGTTTGTCCTTTTTTCCCCCTCCAGCCTTGCACTGAAGTACTATTTATAGATATATTCCATGAATATAATCAAACTCTGACTCCTGTACTTCTGGAAATGATGCAAACTCTTCAAGGTAAGGCATATTTTGTGAAATTTTTATTGACCCTGTTAATGTTCAAATAGTGTGAGTGCCTAGTATGTACAATGTGCTCCTTCCTGAATCATGTAATATATGTGAATTTGAGAAAGACTGAGGAAAAAAACTTTCATTTATGACAGTATGCATGGAATTGGAGAATATTTTACTAAAGTCAGGCATGAAAAGACATACTACATGTTTTCACTTACATTTGAAATCTACAACGAATCCATTAGAAGTGAAAAATGGAATGATGGTTACAGAAGCTGGAGGATGGGGAAATAATGTTCAAATGGTGCAGATTGTTAGAAGGAAGTTTTAAAAATTTTACTGAACACTGACAAGTACAGTTAATAGAGTTTTATACTGTCAGTATTGCCGAGAATGTGAATTTCAGATGTTCTCATTACAAAAAATATTAAGCATTTGAAGTGATGGACACATTAAATTGTTTTAATTATTTCACATTGTATTTATAAGTCAAAATTACTCTGTACTAAATAAATAAATGTAGTTGCTATCAGTTTATAATAAAAAATAAATTTCATTTTATGCAGAAAGACAAGTACTATGTGATATCATTCATCTGTGGAATGTAAAAAAGTTGATCTTGCAAAAGTTAATAGAGCAGTGGTTTCAATGGGGAGATAGATGGGGAAAGATTGAGTGAGTATGTACAGTTAATTAAAAGGGAAAAATTTTCGTGTGTTGCTGCACAGTATGTTGCAGTAACATACTATATAATTTAAAAAGCTAGAAAGGATTTTGAATATTTTTACATGAAGAAATGATAAATGTTTGAGATAGATATATTTAACCTGATTTAAACATTACACAGTATATACATATATCAAAATGTAACATTACACTCTTAACAGATGCAGTTTTTAATTTTTATATATGTTAAAAGTAAACTTAAAGTTTTAAAAATTAGTTTTATTTACTTTTGCTGATACTTGGTTCTCTCTCTCTCCCTCTCTCTCTTTCTCTTTCTCTCCTTTTTTTAGGGCCCACCAATGTGGAAGATATGAATGCACTGTTAATCAAAGATGCTGGTATGCTAAATTTAAGTAATTTAGACAAATTTTTCAATAAATGCCGGGTCTATTTTGTAGTACTTTGTGTGTGTGGGTCAGTTGGAATATAAGAGTAGATAAATATAGTATGGGAACTCTGGTGAGGCAGATAACCAAGTTAGCAGACAATCAGTTATAACTCTGTAAGGGATAGTTAATGCTAAAGTAGGTGGTAAAAACAAGGTAGTTTGGTGTACCCAGCAAAAGACTCCTAAAGAAGTATAGTATAATGTGAGAGTAGAAGGACAAGTAGGAGTTAGCTATGCAAGAGGTAGATGTGAGAAGAGTGTTCCAAGAAGACTGAGCAATTTGTACAAAGATTTGAATGTCAAAGGAGTAAGTACAAAGTAGAGTTTAAACTTAGTTTTTTGGCTTAACATTGAAGTTAAGGGATTTTGAGAGATGAAGTTGGAGAAACATAACCAGGGACCAGGGACCATAAATACTGTCTCAATTTAGAAGCAGATGCTATTTTATAATTTTTATAATTTGCATATCAGTGAATTTTAATTCTCATAGTACAAAGGAATATTTCGGAGAAATAGGAAGTAAAATAACTTTGAAGTTTCTACAGTGTCTATTTTAGTAATCTTTCTTGTTGGTTAACATATTGCATATTTTTCTTAATATATTACATGGTTCAAAATAATTTTGCTTTCTTTTTTCTCCTCTCTTATTTTCTCTCCCTTTCTGTCTCTGTCTATCCCTCCTTCTGTTCTTCCTTACTTTTTCCCTTGCCTCCCTTCCCCTCCTCTCCCTGCCGCTCCCCTCCCCTCCCCGCCCTCTCCCTCCCCCCCCCAGGGGATTGAACTCAAGGCCTCTTGTGTGCTAGCTCTACCGCTGAGCTATATCCCCAGGCTCTAAATTTAGTTTCTTATATAAGGGCCAATGTTTGATTTTTTTTTTTCCTTAAATTTCCTTCTCAGTGTATAATGCCGTTGGATTAGCTGCTTATGAGCTGTTTGATAGTGTTGATTTTGATCAGTGGTTTAAAAACCAACTTCTTCCAGAATTACAAGTCATTCACAATAGGCAAGTATAAAATACTGTGTTTATTGTATACTTCTTTAACCTTATTAATAGGGCATTAAATTTGTTTACAGTTTTTAAAGAATCATTGTATGACTTAGCAGGTAATGTCTAGTCTAGAAAAGAATGTAAGATTTGTGAATTTTATAACTGAAATATATACAAAAGAGTTCATTCTTTTGTTAGCTTACTTCAAACATGAGCTGTGACTTCCAGGAAGTAGTTTGATGGTTATATAAGACAGTTTGCAGAAGAAAAAAAAAGTAAGATTTTGTGCAAAGGTAAGGAAAGATGGAGGTCTGTGTATTCCAGAAAGAAGTAACACAAAAGAAAGACTGTTGACAGGTACAAGTTTGATGTCAGGAGTGACTTAACCAAGGTAACATCCTTGAAAGTTGGCTGTCTTGGGATCACGTAGAGCATACTGGGGAGAGAGTAGATCGGGATGTAGAGAATTTCAGCAAAAACATTTGAATACTTGTTTGGTTCTACTAAAGTACCTACATTAATAGTACAAATTCATGTTATATTTAGTAGACGTTTTGCCCAATTCTTGTTTTATATGCATTTCAGCACTTGCCTGTGTTAGTTTGAGTTTTGTTTTTTGTTTTTGGTTTGGGGAATCGAACTCAGGACCTTGTGCTTGCAAGGTAGGCGGCAGAACCACTGGGCTAAATCCCCCACTCCTAGTTTGAGTATTGAATGAGTATCATGGAATAAAAAGGAAAGTCTTTCATAGTTTTTATAAATTATTTCATAGTTTAAAATTAGAGATCATTTTATATTTCAAGAGGATTTTTTTTTCCGTTGGTGTGAAAGGTACAGTTTTGTCAAGTTAACTTCTGAGTACCTGGTACCTATTAGTCATAGATTAGTAATATTTATTGACTAAATTATTAAATGATTAGAAGTCTACTTACATTTAGATCATTTTATAAGCCTTTAGGGCTATAGGGAATTATACACTAGAGATGCTTTAAAAGTAATTTTGAAGCTTGGCTTAGTGGCAGCACCTGTAATTCTATCTACTCTGCACACTGAGATAGGAGGACAGTGAGTTTGAGCTTAGCTGGGGCAACATAGCATGTCTTTGCCCCCCAAAAAGAAAAAAAATTTTGATTCTTAATTAGCTATTTCTATAGGTATTAGATCATTTTTTCAGTACTTAGAATATGCTATGTCCTGTGGATCCATTGATCCAGTGATGAATAAAATAAACTGTTTCTATCTCAGAGAGGTGGTGAGCATTTGATGGAGAGAAAAATCTTTACTGGGGACAGAAATGCAAAGTCTAATTAATTGTCCCTAAACCCTAGAGTCTATTCCCTTGGTATGATTCTTGAGCACTTGAAATATGCAACTGAGGAAGTAACTTTTTAATTTTAGTCAGTTTAAATTTTAAGCCAGGTGTGGTGGCACACATCTGTAATACCAGCACTCAGGAGGCTGAGGCAGGAGGATTGCCTTGAGTTCAAGGCCAGCCTGAACTACATAGTGAGACCCTGTCTCAAAAGGAAATTTTTTTTAAACTTAAACTTTGAAAAATATGTATTGATAAAAGATTGAAATGCTATTTTTAGTATGTTGAGATAAAAAGTATTAAATTTTTTTTAACTTATTTTCATTTAGACACTAAAAAGTTTTTAAATTAACATATTTGACCTGCATTATGTTTTTCTTGGCTGATCTAAAGCAGTGGTTCTCAATATTGTGTGTGTGTGTGTGTGTGTGTATACACACACACACACACACACACACACACACACACACACATATGAATCATCTGGTAGGTAATCTTGTTAAATTAGATTTCTTATTTAGTAAGTGAATCAGATTGTATACTTTCTCACTTTCAGAATGATGGTACTGCTGGTTCAGGCACCACAGTTGGAGGGACAAATTAATTCCAGTTTAAACTGGGTTTGGAAGTGACTGTGACCTTAGAATTTGACCTTTCTGTGCTGCTTCATTCTCTTTATTTTTTTTCTTTCTTTCTTTTTTTTTTGGTACCAGGGATTTCACTTGGGTCCTTGTGCTTGCGAGATTCATTCTCTTTCTTTGAACAGAGTTAAATTGTCAAATTGAGGATTCCTTCATGTCACTTTACATAAGTCTTGGTATTTCTCCTTCCCAGACTTGTTTAAGCAGTTCGTACTCCTTGGATTGGCTTTTATTTTTCCTGTTCAAATCCTGTTTTAACTGAAAGGTCTGTTCCAGTTCTGCCTCCATTCTCACTCTTCCTTTCTTCAAAACCTAGTGTACTATTTGTGCTTTTTATTTCTTTTAGGTATGCTATAAACTTTTGATATTTACAGTACAGGGAAATATTTACAGTACTTTTTTCAATTTTGATGAGCATTGTACTTGATCATTTTTAAGACTGTGGTTTTCTAAAGTAGCAGTATATTTTATAATTCGTTCCATTTATGGCCAGAAATGATTATCATCTTGCCATTAAAATTTTGTATTATACCAAGAAAATTGTATATGGCTTCTCGGACACAAATATTTTGAGTTTTGTATTTTTTTCTTCCTGCTTTAGACTTAGGAACATTCATTTTCTTTAGCCAAGAAAAAAGACATAAATGTATGTACATGTTACTGCAAATGTTTGACAACATAAGTATACCTTTATTTATGAATTGAATCATATTCTGTAATTGGGCATCTCTTCAAAATCAGTGTTTAGCTAAATTATTTATGTGATTATATTATATAAGCTGAGGGGTCTTTCACAATATTGTGAAAATAATCTTTATGGGATTAACAACTGAAATGGGAAAATTGAGTATGGGAACTCTTTTATTATTACTTTTTGGGACCTCCATCTTTAGGGTGTAGGGCATTAGCACTGTTTTAGTTATTTCAAGAATAGAAATGCACTTGGTTTTTATGTACGTATCTGTGTTACTGTTCTTTAATGCAAAAGAAGCAGGGTTATAGTACAGATGCCTAAGAATTTCATTTACTTACCTCAGGACTATTGTTAATATTTTGTACTGTGGTACATTAGAAATAACTTTGAATTTTTACGTAAGTGTAGATTGTGTTTATTACTACATTTTAGATTTAAATGATGACATACACTAAGTAAAATAGGCTTCTCAAAATATTATAACATTTTAATTTCATGATTTTTCCCTATCTAGGTATAAGCCATTGAGACGCAGGGTGATTTGGCTGATTGGTCAGTGGATTTCTGTAAAATTCAAATCTGATTTAAGACCCATGCTATATGAAGCAATTTGTAACTTACTTCAAGATCAAGATTTAGTGGTATGTGGCTTACATATCTTAAAATAATTGCTTTTATAAATTTAACCTTTACTAAATTTTGTGTTTAGGAACTGTTTATATCTTTTTTGGGGGCGGGTACTGGGGATCGAACTTAGGGCCTTGTCAGGCAAGCTGGTGCAACTGAGCTAAATCCCCAGCCTATTTATATCTTTCTTTACAATGTTATGGCTTATTACCATAGTTGTTATTCTTTGGTAAACCATTTGATTTGAGGGTAAAGTCTTTTTATTATTGTTTTTCTTTCTCAATACTAGTCACTGAAAAAACTCTTAACCAAACTTTCTGTTCTGGATAATTTATAATTTTTTAACAAAAAAAAGAAAGTTTTTTAGAACTGAGATTGAACTCAAGATCATTCCCTTCCAAGGCAGGCGTGGTGCCACTGAGCTAAATCCCCAACCCAAAGGAAGTTAGTTTTTAAGATCACTTGATAATGTACCTGTTCTTTTCTGATTCAGGACAAACTTTGCCATTGACATAGCATTATAATCTGTTTCATCCTATGGTTGTTTCTTTGTCCTGTGTAGGAATTTTTTTAAGCCTTTGGAATTATTGTTTTTTTCAGGAATTTTTCTTTATGATGTTAATATAATCTTGATTTTATGTTACTGAAACTTGTGTTACTGAAACTTGAGAATACCTTCTTTGTTGAATTTTTCCTTCAAAACTATAGGTCTGACACTAAGCTGAATTAGTCATGTCCATTCAGACACAATAACCTGAACTACTGAGAAGATCTATTTCCAGAAAGTTTATTTATTCATTTATTTTTTTGATACTGGGGATCAAATTTGGGACCTTGTGCTTGCGAGGCAGGTGACGGAACCACTGAGCTAAATCCCTGGACCTAGAAAGTTTATTTTGTATAAACTACATGTTAGTCATTAGTATAGTATCTTTTTTTTTTTTTAATTTTGGTTGTTTGATGTTTAATGTTTTTGTATGAAGGTAGTAAATAAACTTTGATCTTCCATTAAAAAAAAAAACAGCAAAAAACTGTGTCTCTTCTTTTATTATATAGGTCAGTTACTTACCCAGGCCCGTGATTTTAAGAAGTTTGAAAATTCTATGAAATATTTAGCTGGGAATAGTCACACATGCCTGTAATCCCAGTAGTGTCAGAGGCTGAGTTCAGGGTATTGAAAGTTCAAGCCTACAGGCATTTGAGCAGTTTAGTTAATCAGTGAGGCTCTGTCTCAAAATAGAAATTTTGGGCTGGGATATATAGCTCAGTTGAAAGGGTCTTGGCTCAACCATATTTTTCTCTTTTTTAGGTATGCCATGATAAATAAACTACAGTACTTACAGTGTTCACTGAAAAAAAAATAATTAGAAAGATGAATTTGTTGTAGAAATGTGGTACATTCTAAAGGCACAGAGAACTAACTGATCTTTGGATTTTCTGCTGAAGTGTTATTTAGTTTTTGTAAATAATGGAGGTTTCATTGTAAATAATCTGTAATTAAATAGTTTAAGCATGGAGGTTTGCAGACATGAGAAAGAGAGTGAGAGAGACATTGTTTTGATTTACACTTTACAAGCTGAACATTAATTCTACCCCATATCAGCAAATGTTAACAATGAGAAAGGGTTTCATAGGAAGGTAAGTTTGGAAAAAACTCTGGGCTAAATATTCATCTAGGCCTCTTTAGTACAGGATTGATCAGAACTTTTAAATACACATTTGCATTGTGGTTATCTTAATGTCCATGGAATATACTTTAAGGAAATGCTGCTTCAGGTTCAGTTCTTTCCCTTCAGTTTAGCTGTTCTGAGGGTGACATTTCATTTTCACATCTTTTGCAGTTGTTTTATTTTGTCGCTATTGTTTTGTGATATATTTAAGAAGACAGTTTTTTGTAAGGCACCAAGTTAATGTTGTATACACTTGTCATGGCATTTTCTTAAAGGTACATTTAAGGTTAGGAATATATAAATTACATTGCTTTAACAACAATGAGATGTGCTGGCTAATAAAAGGTGGGAAGATGCCTTATTCATTTATAAACATGCATACCTACAGATATTGTATGTATGTTTATAATATATTGTTTGAGTGCTGTTGTAGAGCTGGGATAGATTTGATAATGAGCAACTACAATTGTCTATTCTTGTGTTCATGTTATAAAGAGACTAGTTAGGACAGAGTAGAAAAAGTATAGCAACTGGAAGGACTGACTTCTCCAGTTAGTATAGGCTTCTATAAGTTTTTCACATATATTTCAAACATTATATTTATGAAATAAAACAGTACAGATGCAGGTAGCTCACCATATCTTTCCAGTCTCTCCTGTTGTCTTTTGTTAAGTGGAAATTTTAAATTTTAATATAGTCACATTTATTTTTTTTCTTTTATTTCTTGTTTAGGAAATCTTCTTTTGGTTATTTTTGAACATAACATGAATTAAGGTTCCATTTTTATAGTTTTTTAAAAAATGCAACAGTGATTTATGGAATACTTTATAATTTTCTTCATTATTATAAAGCTGCTTCTATCATACATCAGATTTATATAAATGTATGAGTGTATTTCTGGACATTGTTCTGTTCTGATGGTCCAGTTTTCTGTCAGTCCTTCATTTGTGTAAGGAATGCATTTTTGTACCTTTGAAAATAAAAAAATTGCTGTGGTTTAAAAAAGGCCTAGTGGTATTTATCATTAGTTATGTTGTTTCCTGTGATACAGTGTGTATAGTTATTGTTGAGAATCTCTTCACATTTATTATTAACCGTCTCTTAAGTATAATGACCTTTCTTCATATATAATTTGAGAACTGCTGACTAGATTGTATACAGTAGGCCAAAATAGCTGTTTTTTTAAATCTCCTTTTTTGTCCCTGCCCTTAGGATATACTGTTCAGCAAATACAGTGTTTATTGCAAGTTTCAGGTTTGAGAACATTTAATTTCCACAGACTAGAATTACTAAATCTTACATTTGAGTAATCTACTTTTCCCAGGATTACAGATGATGGTGGTATTACAGATAATTTACAATAATCAAACTCAGGGTCTTGTGCATATTAGGCAAGCACTTTACCACAGAGCTGTTACAGACAATTCTTTTATCATAATACTTGGTTTAATAATGGATTTCTTTAGGTTTTAAGGTTTCTGAATAAGTTAAATCTGTTTTTTTGTTGTTTTGTTTTGTTTTTTGGTACTGGGGATTGAACTCAGGACCTTGCACTTGGGAGGCTGTCAGTGGCATCACTGAGCTAAATACCCAGCACCTGAACCAGTTATATTTTGAACTTTTTTTTTTTTGGTACTGGGGATCGAATTTGGGTCCTTGCACTTGTGCAACAGGCGGCAGAACCACTGAGCTAAATCCCTGGCCCTATGTTTTTAATTTCTATGAATTCTAAATAAATTTTTATAAAGTTTACTTAGATTATCTATGTAACCTTCAGTAAAGCAATTCTGAACCATTAAAAATTAGTATTAGTATAATCTTTCATTTATGTGGGAAACTACATAAGATGTAAACTCTGGTGTAATTAAAAGGCCTATAGTTCTGTGTACATTGTAATTGTCTGAGAAGCAAAGAAATGGCCATGTTTGTGGGCAAGTTGACTGTTAGTATAGAAATAGTGAATATTTGAAAATGATACATTGCTTAGTAGAATTTTTTTGTTTATTTATTTATTTATTTGACCATAACATGCCTTTATTATAGGGAGTGACATGGCAGAACAGGGAACTTCTTTTATAGGACTGGGGGAACTTACAGGAGCTGGGGTGGGATTGAGTGATGTAGTGGCTAGGGATTGGGGAAGCTTGTGACATCACTAGGAGGGGCTTGTGTCTTCATTAATTAGGGACATCTTAAGGCGAGGGAAATCTAACATTCCAGGCTTCTGTTTTATGGTTGTTGGGTGAAGGTTTCTTCTGGAGCTGCTTCAAGCTGACAAAGGGGCAAAAGTTGGGGTTAAATCTGTATGTGATGGGGGCAGTAGGTGAGGACTTTTTCCCTCTACCGCAGTGGCCAATACCCTGCCATGATGAGTTCCGTGACTGTCTGATTGGTAAATGCCCTCATGTGTTCCTGCAAGAAATTTTGAAAACAGCAAAACATTCAGAAGGGGATTAGAAGGAGAGCTGCCCTTTTTCTGATTGTTTTCTGTGGGAGAGCTTGTTTAATCATCTGGGCTTCTGTATAAATGGTCATGGAAGAGCTAAGGAAGGATATGTAACAGAAAATGTCAGACTGAGGCATCGTAATGCCTCTTGATTACATATGAAGTACAGGCTATTGAACGGTCAGATTGGACACTCTTCTGAGAGGCAAGTGATGTCATTTTGCCTCATGCATGTCAGGTTAGTGGTTTGTGTAGGGAATGGGAGACTTGTAGCCAAGGGTCCCAGAACTGTGGATAAATTGCCAGTATTTGAGACAGACAGGTTAACATCTAGGGGGACGGGAATTGGAATGAATAAGCAGGATTAAATGGGCATACGCATTCCACAGTCTGAGATATTGACAGGGAGATAGTGGAGGGTGGTATTAAATAGGTGTTGTGGCCTTTTTTGAGACTGGGTTATCTGGTTTACTACTTGGAGATCTGTCCTTTTATAGGGAGGTGGAGTTCTGGGCCTCAAAAATCTCTCTATCACTAGTGTCTGTTCATTGACTGCCTCTTTTGGTTATTCTTTTCTTCTCGGTGTTTAAGACCAAGTGAGACCTATGTTAATCAATATGAACATTTTGCTATCTGGCAAGGTCAGTGAAGTCTCTAGACATTATTTTGCAACCGTGCATAGAGCCTCTCACCTCCTGTCAGTGTCAGCCATTAGGATGGGTCTTGGGCCTATATATATAATATATTTGACCAATTGAATTATAACATCTCTTTTAATTAAGGCTACTCCAAACTTTTGCAGGTCTATTAACAGAGATCTCTTGAAATTAGAATCAGAAGGAGTAAAAGCACTTTATAACTACCATAATCTTGTGTTATAGTTATTGTCAGAAGTCTATAAGCAGAAATTAGAGAGAGGGTCCGGTTAATCCATAATTTCAATTTAAGAATTTGCAATGTAAAAGAAATGTTTCAGATACATTGATTAAACATCTGGAAGCCAAACACCAATCAAACATTATTTTAAGTTGAAGGTGAAAGGTACATTTGTCAAATAGCCAAAATTTATAATTTTTTTTTAAAGATTTTCCTGCCTGGCAGGACATTGCAGCTGATTTTTACTATGGAGCAAGCAGTCTGCAGCTGGCACTGGGCTGTAACCTAGCATTTGGTTTTTGAGCTCTGTTCTTAAGCATTACATTTTCTTTGAATTGTTTTAAACCTTATTTTTCATTTTCCAATATTTACGTAGAAAACAGTAGGGCCCGGTGGAATTTCTTGGTAATGTAGCCTGCTGAACAAGTTGTTGATATGGTAATGGCCAGAGGAGGATTTTACTTTTTTTTTTTTTTTTTTTTTTTTTTTTTTTTTTTTCAGAGTCTTGCTTTTCTCTCTCTTCCAAGGAAGCTGGAGAAGGAAGAGTAAGCAGAGAAGTGATTGTTAACTCACTCTCCTGTTTGGGAGGGGTTGGAGGATCAGGGAGAGATCAGGTGTGTGGGTACACACAAGATGGCAGAGATAAGAAAGGGTCTCAGGATGGCAGAGGTGAGAAAGGGTCACAAGGTGGTGGAAGTGAAGAAGCACACGAGGAGATTGAAGAGGTGGCCAGGTTATAGGGTGGGGAGGTGTGAGTGGTGAGTGATCGCCAGGTTGAAGGTGGGAGTCAGAGGGGTGGAAAATGGAGTGTGGGCTAGAAGTACCTGAGAGGGCGAACAGGTTTGAGGGAGGGGCGAGAGAGTAGGTAGAAGAAGGCTTGTATATAGGGGATTTCTGACCAGTTGCCATTTCATTGACAAAAGTTGCACAAATCATGCCATATGTTAAAATTGGCAGTGCCATTTTCGGGCCATTAGATTCATTGTCTAATTTGTACTGAGGCCAAACTTGGTTGCAATAAAAAATGAGTCATTGTCGCTTAAAGTCGGTTCCCAACAATCCAAGAGGAATTAATTGTGCCAGGAGGCAACCAAGAGGCGTTGAGGGAGGGGGTTTGGATTGTTGGGTGCCCATATTAGGGTGGATCAGGAGGAATTAGCTCTCTAGGAGGAGGGCAAAAGAGAGGTACATCTTTTGTCTCTTTTGATACTCCCCAAGCCAGTCACCAGAAGGGAAAAATGAGAGGAATTGGTTGATGGGGCATCTCCCAGGAGCACGGTCCTGGGCCCAATGGCCTGAGAGGGTCTCTCTGACCATGCACTTGGATTTCTGAGAAGTCCCCAAAGAGAGAGAATGAGAGTGAGACAGAGGACCCCTGAGTAGAGGGAAGCTAAACTGCCTACAACTCACCCTGTAATGAGTTACCAGTGTGGATGTGAGTTGTCAGCAAAGGCAAAGAGCCCCGATGAGGTCCTGGCTCGGCAGATGTGGTCTGGAGGAGAGAGCCAAAAGGCCAGTCAACCCCATCCTGCGGGGGATTGTCCTTTAATCGACTGCCTTTCTCCCAGGTTTCGGCACCAGATATGTCAGGTAAAAAAGCCAAAATCCAAGACCTGACCAGGACCATAACAAGCCTTTATTATGGGGAGGATCTGCCAGGCTGTCTCTGAACAAAGGATAGAGAGCCTGCTTAGTAGAATTTAATAAGGAACCTTCAGTGGCATAGGTAAGAGTTTAGTAAACCATGCATACACTGTGGGAGTTACAGCTAGGATCTGGGCAAAGTTCACTGCAAAATCTGTGGAGATGCTAACTTCCCACTCTTTTGGCTTCTGTTGGTCTCCTGGTTTTTCTATTTTATATCTTTGATTTTGTTTTTCTGTTTGCTTGTACTTTCTATGTCAAATAAACTTCTGCAGGTTTTAAACTCTGGGCCAGTTTGTGTTTTGAAAGATCCCAGAATGCTGGATTCAGTGATGTTAATCAAATGTAAAATAATATTGAGATCACAGAATATTAGGCCAGCCTAGAACCAGGAAGAAAGCTTCCTGCATTCTGTCTTACGTTTGTTATTGATATATCTGGTATCCATAGTATATGAAAATGAGCTTCAAATTATTTTTCTTAAAAGCATATGAATAAATTGAAGGTACTTTTTATCCTTTTAGGAGACTTATTTGAAAGTGTATTTCAGAAGAAATATATCAAATTGTAAAATGAGTGATCTTAATTTTGTAGAAAACTGTATTAGCTAGTAATAATAGTAGTACTAACACATAGGAAAGTATAGAATGTTTTTCATATTACTAGTATCTTTTCTGCTTTGTATACAATCGAATCTTAGAAAAATGTTTATTAAAATAATTGGAACATAAGGTCAGGAAAGAATCCAAGAATGAGAATACTCTTTTTAAACTAATTATTAAGCCATTCTTTTATTTCTTCTTAGCAGATTACTTTATTGTTTCATGTGTACCTTATTTATATTTTCTTGGTTGTCTTATGTTCCTGAGATACTACCATTTCTTTTTGGTCCCGGAACTGTGTCCATTGCTTTAGTCTGTAGACTGCCTCTTTCTAAGGACAGAGGGCAGGTATTAGGCTAGCTCAAGTATAGGACTTGAACTAACCACTCTGAGAGTTATCAGCAAGTTTACAGAAAGCAAAATCAAATTTGCAGAAATGATCAGCTAATTTATTAAGTCATTTACACAGAGCCCTGGAATCTGTAGATTTGGCAATGTAGTCCTTACCATATGGTCATTGTGCTTAGTTAGCATCTCTAGACTCAGAAATGCTTAAAAAATGTTTAAAACTTTTTCTTTCTGAGGAATATATACAAAGGGAATAACAGTTGCCATTACAGGTGTGGTAAATGTAGCACATTAGGAAAGTAATGGCTCTTAGCCTGAAAATAACATTTTAGATATATGTTTACAGAGTGGAAGACAGAATTTAATTATGGCTTGAGTTAATGTGGAAACCAGTGAGTATTTTAGCTTGTGCCAAATTAGTTGATCAAGTCAGATGTAAAACTTGAGAGAATAAGGAGTATATATTGTAATGACACAGTCTACCCAGGTACTATACTAATAAAAAAATTTTTTTTTGAGGGGTCAGGAGCTTGCATAAACCTTTACTTCCATATTTGTGAATTTTGGAATTTAGAAAATCTCAGAAATACCTTTGGATATATCAAGGATTTACTGTAATTTGAGGTTGGGATGAGATTTTTGTGTTCTTTCTCCTGTCCATCTTCTTTCTCTTCCTGTTCTTTTATACCCTTCACTAGCCTCCCCATCCTCAACCTGTTTTCTAGCTTCTCAACCTTCCATTTTCCCCTGGAATCACCTGCACTCTGCTCTCTCTCAGTCTCATAAACAAATGATTTTTCTTCCTGGAAGAAACCCACTGGCTTAAAGCCTCCTTAAGCAAGTTACAGAAAACAGCAGGGTAGGAATAATACTTTTTTCTTTTAATCTTTGGTTGCAAGTTAAGGGTTATATCCTAATTTACTTTGTGACTTTAATTTTTTTTTTTTTTTTTGGTTTTTTGAGAGAGGGTCTCACTATGTAGTTGAGACTGATCTGGAACTCACTGTGTAGACCAGGCTAATCTCGAACTCACAGCGATCCTCCTGCCTCAGCTTCCCAAGTGCTGGGATTACAGGCGTGAGCCACCACGCTCAGCTTTTGTGACTTTAATTTTAACAAAAAGTAAAAAAAAAAAAATATTTTGAATATAATTTTTGTTAGGTATTAATAATGTTTAGTAGTTCTAGAGTGATTAAGAGTTTAATGTGTGTACTTTCTTTCAGGTCCGAATAGAAACGGCTACAACTCTGAAGTTGAATATCCTTTTGAATACTTGAAAGTACTCCATTGAAAAAAAGTTTATTAATACTATTATGTTATCTTGTGAAATTATCATATAGTTTAACATGTAGTTTTTTATTGTTTTATTGTATTTGTTTTAGATATATTTTTATCTCGATAAACTTCACAATATTCTCAGTGTGCCTTAACTGCTTTTTTACCTGTTGATGATTTTGAATTTAGAACAGATCAATTTCTACCAGTAAGTATTCATTTCTGGGCTTTATAACAATTTCTGCATATTTCTTTTCAATATTGTATTATTTTATAGCTGAATTTTGTATGTGTATATCCATTTATTAAAATTGAATTTAAGAGTGCACTGAAGTATTTTGGAGGACATAACTTGAATTTATAACTTTTTTGGCTAAAAGGTCACTTTTATTCTACATATTTTATTTAATCTCTTTTGAAGTTGACTGCCAAATTTTTTTCTGGTTACAGTTATAAATATTTAGTATCTTTGCTTTATGTGTGCCTGTTACTTTTAATCTTGTTATTTCCCTGTATGGTTGTGTAGACTTGTTTGAATCCTGCACTAGATTGCAAATTACTTGAAGATTAGAATCATGCCATACTCAATCTTTTTATTCTTTTCTAGCCCCCAGCACCTGACAGGGTGTTCTTTACACAGTTAATACTCAGTAAGCACTTGTTTAATATGGCAATATATTGGTCAGCTTTCTCATTGCTGGGACACAGTACTGACAAAAAGGAGGAGAGGATTTATTATTATTATTATTTATTTTCTTGGTACTAGGGATCGAACTCAGGACCTTGTGCTTACAAAGCAGGTGGTGAAACCCCCTCCCCAAAGACAGAATTAATTTGACTTGTGGTTTCAGAGGATTCAGTCCATGGTTAGCTGACTCCAAGGCAGGACCATCATTGTAGAAGAGCATGTAGAAAAAAGTTGCTCACTTCATGGGAGCTGGGAAGTAGAGCAGGGAAACAGTGCAAGAGAAAATGAGGCCAGGGAACAGATTTAGTACCCAGGGTCTTGGCCTCCACTGCCCACCGAGACACACCTAGCAATGTGCTTAACTAGTCCCCTAGGCAGCTTTCAAGCCAATCAAATTAACAGTTCAGCTTAATTATCAGTAAAATTGGTGTGGTAGTGTTCTTAAGAGACTTGGTGAGGAGAAAAGTTTTATGATAAAATGTTTATAAGTACTTTTTGTGGAGACACTTATAGAATAGTGATTGTTTTTTTATTAACAATAGTCATTACATGTTTTTGGATGAAAAAAATGTGTTCTAGATATTTGTATAAAAAACAAATTAAAAGAAAAGAAAAGCTGGCGATTTATTTAGCTTAGTAGTACTGTTGCTTGCCTCATAAGCATGAGGTCCTGAGTTCGATCACCAGTACCCACCCCAGAAAAGGAAAAGACCCCTAAACCCACAAATACAAAAACAAAAGGATAACAAAAAATAAACCAGATATCTAAGTAAACAAATGCTGTGTTTTAAGTCCCATGATTTGTCACTTTGCCACATAATATTCATGTTCAAATCCAGACATATGGTGTTTATTTTCTAATAAATTGTGTGGTTTTTAGAATAACAAGTATATAGCTGCAAAAATTTACAACTCCATGCAATATATGGTAAGGGCCACATCAGATAGCTGCCTATGTGTGTTCAATAATTTGTATTCCTTTCGCTTTAATATGTATGCCCTACAAAATAAAACAATCTGTGATTAACAACTGACATGTAGAAATTAAGTGAGAAGACACTGTTATCTTAGTTGACAGAATAAAGTGTAAATGTAAGCAGTTTAGACAATCTTGTCATTTTGTGGATGATTAAGATTCTGAAATGCACACATTTTGCAGCAATAAAGATTTAAAATAATAAAAATTAGCTTGAATAGTTTAAAGTTGCTTAAATATTACTAAAGCTTTGACTTTCTGTTATTGCTGTGGTATTGTGATCTATTTACTTACGTCTGCACATATATAAAGATTTTTATATTCTTTTCTGAATTTTTTTTTCCTTGTAGTATTTGGAGACCATGTTCACACTACTTTTTCAGTTGCTGCAGCAAGTTACAGAATGTGACACAAAGATGCACGTTTTACATGTCCTTTCTTGTGTGATTGAAAGAGTCAACATGCAGGTAATTTTATTGTAAAACATGAAATTAAATGTTAGGGAGGTGAGTAGAATATGTGTAGAATTCATTAATGACTTGGTTTTAGTTACATAGTTAATGTTAAAGCATACATTAAAATTCTAACTTATAGGCCGTGATTTCAGTTACATTATTCAAAACTGATAACTTATATTTGAATTTTTAAAAAAGTCTAAGATAGTTAAAATATTTTTTAAAATTACATCAGTAATGTAGAATCATTTAGAAAGTAGAATTTCCTGGCCAGGCAAGGCAGGACACCAAGTTTGAGAGCTTCCTGGGGTACACAGTGTAGCAGACAAGAGTACATAGTGGGTTACATGGTGTTCCAGGCCAGTGTAGAGTACATAGTGAGAGTTTATCTCACGAAATCAACAAGTAAATAAGAAAGGGAAAGTAGAATCTTCATTACTTGGATGATCTAGTTTATGCTTAATAATCTTGAAATTTTGTACATTTGAGGGTATAGGCACAAGTGTCTTAGTAAATACAAACTTTTAAAGAAATTTGACCTTAAAATTAAGTGTTGGTAATCTAGGCTACATTATATCCATATTTGATTTAATATAAAAATAACGTGTAAAGTTATTAACAGCTAAATTAACTTAGCTTCCTTTGTCACTCCTGATCTTGGTGATAAATTGATAATCCAGGGAACCATGTTAACAATTACGCTGTGGCTTTTTTTTTTTTTTTTGTACTGGGGATCAAACTCAGGACCTTGTACTTGTGAGGTAGGTGGCGGCACCACTGAGCTAAATCCCCGGCCCTTATCCTATAGCCTCTTATATCATAGTTAACCACTATACATCTTAGTTTGAAAAGCACTGCAGTAATTCTGTGAGATATTAGGGAAGAATAACTGATTTGAGCTTCATAGACTTAGCATCTACTCTTAAATCTGCTATTTTTGAATTTTGATATCTTGAGGTTATTAATTCCAAAGCAATGATGAGAATAGCTGTCATAGTTATTAAGTAATGACAGCATAGCATATGTGCTTAGTACTTCGCGTATATTTCTCACTTCCTCCTCACAAAAGCCTTAGGGTGGGAGTTAAATTTTTGTTTCCTCATTGAGTTTATTGGTACATTTTAGGTATACAGTACAGTGGGAGTTAAAATTTATTATCTCAAGTAATTTGGAACTTTAAGGAACTTGCCAGAATTCATACGGCAGTACCAGCATTCAAACTAAGCTAAACATGTAAGTTGATGTTTGAGTTTGAGTTGCTCTTAATCACTCTGGGGAGATCTGGATACTGGTGTCTAAAAGTAGTAATATCTTACAAATTTCTTGGCACTGGTGACTCTTATTACATTATTTGGACTATTTCTTTTTTGATCTCGCTATGCAGTTCAGGCTGGCCTTGAACTCACTTTGTAGCCTAGTTTGGCATCAAAATCACAGTGATCCTCCTGCCTCACCCTCCTGAGTGCTGGGATTTCGGATGTGCACCACCGCACCCGGCTAGTTGGTTTGTTTAATTTGCTACTGGCTTCTAAACAACATTAAGAGTTTGATCACAGATAGTTAATTGCAACTGTTTTTAAAACTTATTTTAACTCCCTTCCTCTTCCATTTAGCTTGGGCAGGCCTTTAAACCTTGTGTCTTCATGTAGAAAATGAAAAAGATAATTCAGAGCTCATCTAACTTACAGAATTTCAGAGTATGAAATTGTTACGAATGTATAGTATGCTTTAGAGTACTGTATTTATGCAATAAATTTTTATTTGCTTAAAAATTGAATATAAATACTAGTTTTATTATTTTCTATAATCTATATCTAAATATATCTGGTTAGTATTTTCTTTTTTCTTTTTTCTTAGTACCAGGGATTGAATCAGGACCTTGGGCTTGCAAGGCATGCTTGACACCACTAAGCTAAATCCCCAGCCCTATGGCTAGTATTTTCTAGAGTTTTTCTTTTTATAGACATGCATTTTCTAATGTCTTCCTACACCTGTATGTAAACCCTTTTTTTCCTAAAAGTTTGAAATTCTTTTCGCTTGATGAATTTAAAAACACTTCTGGAAGGGCTAAAGGTGTAGGAAACGTGGGAAGGGTAGGGGAAAGGGAATAAGGGAAAAGAAAAAAATACGAGAAAATGAAAAAATGGAAAGAAAGTATTTGTAAATGGGGAGGAGAGGAGGGGGTGAAGGGAGGGCAGGGACAAGGGGAAAAAATGAGAACCAAGACCTGTCATGTAAAGGTACAAGATCCCAGTAATGAGTGTAACTGTACTGTATACCTAGAATGTACCAATAAACTCAGTAAAAAGAAAAAGAAAATAATACTTCTGAGTTATGCTTACTTTCATCTTTAGAACACAAAAAGTCTAGCAGTTTGGGTAACTATTATTCATAAGTAAGCAAATGTGATTACCCAGCAGAAGTTTTTATTTTCAGGGATCATACTAACATAGGAAATGGTTAAAACATTTTATTTCAGTACTCTGGTATTTTTTTTTTTCTGTTAACCATTGAATAACTCCATCATTTATATCTTTGTTGTATGTATCTCTCAACTGTCTTTTGTATACTCAGTTTGATTTTTGTCAAATTTTGGGGTTTCAACAATGTCTGTCTTTTTGTTAGTATGCAATTATTTGAGTATTATGTTGTCTTTACCTTTTGTGAAAACATTTGAAAACCTACAATCACATTATTCTAATGAGAGATCCCATATTTAGTTAAAATAAAAATACAGTCACCAGGTATAGTGTCAGGCAGCTCTTTGAGATTATGCATTGCTGAAGAAAGAACAAAATTAAACTGCCTCTGTGAAATATAAATTCTGTTGAAAATCATTTCTAAAAGATGAAGCATCATTAGGGACTGAAAATATTTTTTTAAGTCCCCTGAGGAAGGAGCCCTTGTTAAAACATTGTTTTTTTTTGTTTGTTTTTTTCCTTTGGTGCCAGGATTGAACTCTGGACCTTGCGCTTACAAAGCAAGCAGCAGAACCACTGAGCTAAATCCCCGGCCCCCTGTTAGCATATTTTGTATGCACATGTTTTCAGGAAAGTGTTATAAATGAAAGTGGAGCTCTTCCTACCAATATATGTATATAACTAACTCATCAGACTAAAATTCCCATAGTATTTCCCTTTGCTTTCCAGAAGTTCTATGGTAAGAACACTTAACGAGATACGTCCTCTTAATAAATCTTTATATATACAATATATTGTTGTTGACTATTGGTACACAATTGTATGAATAGTTTTCCTAAACTGAAACTTTTTCCCTTTAATACCTTTGGCAGTCACTAATTCTGCTCTTTGATTCAATAAATTTGATTATTTTAAAATACTTCATATTCCACTTATATGAAATATTTAAAATAATCAAATTTATTTGTTAGCTAACTTGATTTTAACATAATGAGTTTATCCACCTCTTTGCATATTGAAGGACCTTCCCCTGGCTTTAAAGGTTGAATAGTATGTGTAATTATCCCTCAGCATTATTGGAATTGATTTTGGGATAACAAACTCTGTAGATGCTTAGGTTTGTTGTATAAAATGGTATGTATAGTATTTACACACAGTCTCATACTTTAAATCATATCTAGAATACTTAAAATCCCTAATATAAAGCAATTAAAATATAAGTTGTTACTGTACTATGTTGTTAAAAAATAATCCTTACGTTTAATCCAAATACAACTTTTCTGTCCTAAATATTTTCACCCAGTGTTGCTTGAATCTAAGGAAATGGAATTTGTGCATAGAGACCAACTGTGTATACCATTGTTCCTAAATACCACATAGTTTTTGTCCTTTTAATTGTTACATACATTTAGGTTTTATTTTCACATATTGGCTATTGCAAATAGTACAACAGTAAACAGCCTTAATAATCTCTTCAGAATCCTGACTTTTGTGAACACCCAGAAATGAGATTGATGAATTATGTAGTAATTCCACCCCCACCCCCACCCACCCCCGCTGAGGCAGGGTCTCGCTATGTAGTTCTATCTGGCCTTGAACTTATGCTGGTCTTGAACTAACAGTGATCCTCCTCCTCCCTCAGCCTCCCAGGTGTTGGGATTACCAGTGTGTACTGCTACCCCTGCTTCCATTTATTTTTTGAGAAATCTTCATACTATTATTTTCCTGTCCTCTCCTTTTCCTCTCTCCTTTCTTTTTGTGGTAAAGAAGATTGAACTTAGGGAGCACCAAGCTATATCTCTCAGTCCTTTTTATTGTGTTCTCTTTGTTTTTTTGGTTGAAAATGTATTTATTTTTCCTCACATGTATTTTTTCAAGCAATAAGTAAAAAAAGACATGTTGACTTTTCTAAAAAACAAAAACAAAAAAACCCCAAAACATCAACACTCACCTGTCATTTGGCTAGTTTTATTACTAACATTTGACCCCATTTGCTCTTTTTTGTCTATGTATATATGTGGATTATATTGTTAGTCTTGTTAAACCATTTGCATTTTAGTTGTAGTTGTCATAGTACTTCATTCCCAACTTAGATCTCTCTTTGTTCTTAAGAGATATAAGTTCATTTTTCTACATTATCATAACCATAACTTAGAAAACTGAACAGTGATGGAATACAGTGTATCCCGTATAAAGTCAATATTCAGATGTCCACTAATACACTTTTTGAGGCCCCCCAAATGTATTTATCATCTGTGTTACTCTGTCATTTTTAATCCTAGTTTTTTTTCCTCCTGAACAGTGACTATGGATTTTTGAAATACTGTTCTTTTACGCATTAATTTAGAACACATATTCTAATGACTAGCTGAGATTGGAATATAAAAATTTCTGGCTTTGTTTTATTACTCCATTTATAATTCATAGCTTACACTTCTGTCTGCCATTCTTTTGAAAGTGTCTTCTGTATTCATTCAAAATCAAAACAGGCTTATTTTCCTTATCAGTAGATTGTGCTATTTTATATGCTGTTTTTAGTCAAATATGAGTAAGTTAGGTACTTTGAAAACCCTGTCTTTACATATTAATCAACTTACTTTTCTAAGCAAATTTGATCTTGAGATAAAACATCTAACAAAATAATGGTCAATATTAATTATGCATTATAATATGATTCAAACTTTGGTAATACAGTGCTACTTGGTAAGTAAATACAAAAAAAAAAGTTATAGATGAATTCCTTAATACTTGTTCACTTAGATCTCACTAAAATATCTGGATAAATGTCCCATAGTGGCCACTATCCTGGGCATGAAGGGCAAATCCTACAGTTGTTTGGCTACCCTTTGAGTATGATGTTATTTAAGCCAAATGAAGAAATGCTTTGTTGGAATAGTTTTTATAAAATTTTAGTCCATGAGATTCAAATAGATAGTTTTGAAGCTATGAAACAGTAATAGTTTTCATCACCAAGGGCATGCTTCTCAGAGCAATTTCAAATACTGTGGTCCTGAACTTGGATCTGGATAACTTTCTAGCATTAGTGTAGATTCATTGTAATTTTCAAGAAACTCCTCAATTTGTGTTTCAGGGTATATTTAATTTAATTTTTTTCATTGAGTTTATTGGTATTTTTTAGGTATACAGTACAGTTATGTTTATCATTGGGATCTTGTACCTTTACATGACAGATCTTGGTTCTCATTTTTTCCCCATACCCCTACTCTCCCTTCATCCCTTCCGCCCTTCCCTATTTACAAAGACTTTGTTTCCATTTTTTCCTTTTATGATATTTTTTTCTTTTCCATTATTTCCTTTCCCTTACCCTTCTCACTTCCCCTACACTTTTAGCCCTTTTCTTTCTATTTCACAGTATCAGTTATATAATTTGGATTTTATTTATACTTTTACTTTTTCACACCAGAGAAACTGTTCGGTATTCACACTTTTGTCCTATTTATTTCACTTAAGAGTATGGCCTCAATATACATCCATTTTCCTATAAATGACTGTAATTTCTCATTCTTTATGGCTGAGTAGTACTCCATTTTATAGAAAAACCACATTTTCTTTATCCAGTCTCCATTTGATGGGCAGTTGGGCTGTTTCCAAGTTTTAGCTATTACAAACTGCTGCTGTAAACATGGGTGTGCATATATCACTGAGGTATGATTCTTTTAATTCTTTTGGAAAGATACCCAGCAGAGGGATAGCTGGGTCAAATGGAACCTCTAGTCCTAGTTGTCTAAGGTTATCTCTATATTGATTTCCATAGTGGTTGTATCAGTGTGCACTCCCACCAACAATGGAGAAGGGTTCCTTTCTCCCCACAACCCTGCCAAAATTTGTTATTGGTTGATTTTCAGGGTGTATTTTAAAAACAGATTACTGAATTCATAGTGGACGTAACAGTTTCATCTTTTGAAAATGGTTTTCTTCTCTTATGTTTCCCCTATGCCTCATATATATAGTCTCTTGGTTATTGCACTTACCCATTTTCCCGTGAGGGTTTGTATGGCTTCTTTATTACATCCTTCTCAATGCCTTGTCCTCAGAGCATCAAGCTGGGAAGATAATTAGATAATTAGATAATTTTTAAGTGAATAAATAAATGCTAACTTCGAAACACTGTGATTTCCACTTAGCTAAGCTATTTTATTAAAACGGTATAACAACATTGTTAATCTCTAAAGAATGTTTTATACTCTTCAATTTTATTTCAGTAAATTTGGTGCTTTTAAAAACTAAAAACATTTTGCATAAGCCCGGGTTTGGCTAATATTTGATTTATCTTTAAAAGAATATATGGTTAATATATTTAGTGGCTGTGAAGTATTTGTTCCTTAGAACTTACAAGTGCTCTGTCAGTATTTCTCAGAGAAAATTGCCTTCTTTAGTAACATAGTTCTGTTGCATCCCCTTTTGTGGTAGATACGGCCATATGTAGGATGTTTGGTACAGTATTTGCCTCTTCTTTGGAAGCAGAGTGAAGAACACAATATGCTGAGATGTGCTATTCTGACAACACTTATTCACCTTGTTCAGGTAAGCAAATTTTGTTCATTTAAAAAACTTCATTGAATGTGATCTGTGTTAGTGGTTTTCTACTTTTTTTTTTTTGTTTTTTTTTTTTCCTAATATGTGATCTTAAGTTTTTTTTTTTTTTTTGGTACCAGGGATTGAACTCGGGTCCTTGCGCTTGCAAGGCAGGCCACCAAACCGCTGAGCTAAATCCTTGGCCCAAGTTTTAAAAACTTTAGTATATTTACTTTGTATATTTTTTGAGAATATTTAGAAATAACTCTATTCATTTAAAAAAAAAAGACTTTAAAAATTAGATATAGTAGTTTCCAGCAATGATAGACTCAGTCCTTGTTATCCCACTTGGAGATTTTCTGGGGTTCAAGGCTTTTCTGCAAAAATTTTCTGTTTTTTCACTACTTCTTTGATTTTAAAAATTTCTCTTTTATATCCTGGAAAGGCAGGGAAGCATAAATTTCTTTCGAGGGAAGAAAAATGAATTATATTTTAGACATTTTAACTTATTGAGCTATGCAGCAGGTAGTTCAGACAGAGAGGGAGGGACAAAGGCAGAGAGAGAATTAGATTGTACTTCTCATTTCAGCTGTTAATGTGAATTTTGTAGTCTTACAGTATCATAGAGAATGACAAGATTAAGATAAAAGAATTAACAATATCTAGAAATGAAGATATTAAGTAATTTTACTGATCTAACGCCCCCCCCCAAGTTTGAGAAATTTTTTATTGCAGAATGCTCCAAGAATAAGTAGGCTAAAACTTTTTAATACTAGCTTTGAAAAACCATTCTCAGACAACTTTTTTTGGTTGTGAACTTTTTTCATAATTAAAATTTTCTGAGATTTTAATAGGTGTAGTGATGTAAAATGATTATAAATCATTTCCCCCTTTTTATTGAGATAAAATTCATATAACATACAATTTTCCATCTTAACCAATTTTAAGTTTACAGTTCATTGGTGTTAAATTTTGTCATAATGTGCAAGTATCACAAACATTTGCCTCCATTAACTCTTTTCATCTTAAAAAACATACTATATCATTAAGCAATAATATTCTCCCCAGTTCCCTGTTAGGGTGTTTTTTAAAAAATAAGTCTATTCTGGTCTACACTTTTAATTCTTGTGACTTTCCTATAAGGCATATATCATTTTGTAGACGAGAATACAAAAGTCTAACAGAAGGCTGGTGATGAGCCTGCAGTTGCATCTGTAAGTAAGAGAACAGAGTGACACCCTGATCCTTTGTATTATCTACTGCCAAGATATATTTTTAATCTCAGGACAGGTGTTTTCTGAGGGAGATGAGAAAAAAAGCTTTGATGCCTCCTCAAGCAGTGTTACTTCAGGTAAACTTGGGAAGCCAGAGTAATGATGTGGAATGTGGGCTTTTTGCTTTAAATCATTTAATTATCTGTATTTTTATTTAGGCCAAAGATACAAAGTTCCAAGTAATAATCTATCTTTCTTGGAATAAATGTATAATATTTGATTCTAAAATTGAGACTATAGTGTAAAATAGATTTTTCTTTCACTTGGGATGAATAAAGTTTATTCTTTTCATGGAAAATGCTGCTATCATTTAATACATAACAGATAGTGTACATGTTATGTTTTTGCTTTTATTTTTTATAAATCTAGAAACCCAAACTCTGGTAGTCTTTGCCTGGGAAGGTTAACCACTGGGTAAAAAATAAACTTTCTAGTGTGTAATGTTGGTTTCAGTGGAAGTAGGCCTTTTAATACGTACATTGTATAATATCTTTAATACCTGTGGCCCTTTCAAACCAGAAACTGATGCTTTCAGGATTTAGATGACTTTATTGAATTTTTTATTTCTTCCCCTTTATGTTTTTCTTCTTTTCTTTTTGAACTTTCTGTTACTTAGATGATGCATATTCTTGAACTAATTCTCTAATTTTCTTACTATTTCTTTCCTGCTTTTTTTTACCTTTTGTTCTTCTTTCTGGGAGAGTTCCTTAGTTTTATCTTTGTTTTTTTTTGTTGTTGTTGTTGTTGTAACCGGGGATCGAACTTGGGTTCTTGCAGTTGCAAGGCAGGCGGCGGAACCACTGAGCTAAATCCCCGGCCCTATCTTTGAACTGAGCTTTTCTTTCCTGCTGTCTTGTTTTAATGTCTGTGAATTTCTCTCTGTTTATGGACTAATGCACATTTCATTTTATTTTTGTTTTGTGTATGCTGTATTTTCTGAATGATAGATTTTTCCAAGCTTTCATCTGTGCCTAGTTTGTTTGCTTTAAGATATTTTCTATTTGATTTGTTCTGTTTTTCATATTAGATTTTTGTTTTTTGTTTTGTTTTGTTTTTGTACTGGCATATTGTCGTTTCTGGTTCCTGGTCAGGAAACCACAGATGTTGTGATCACCCTTGTTCCATTGTCCAAGAAGCCCACTACAGTCCCAATAAAAAGCTAGAGGGACAAAGTTAAACAGAAGGAAGACAGTTTGTTTGTAAAGAGGAAAAGGAAATGGGGAGGAGGAGAAGATAGAGAGCCACCCTAATAAAAAAAGAATCAGGGTAGGGGACTGTAGAAAGATGGAGGTCCCATGCGCATTTGTTCCCAAATACTTTTATGGGGGGTGGTATCAGAGACCCTTCCCTACCACCTGGAACTGGCCATAGCTGGATTGGCTTGCGGGCATCTCTGCCTAGTGCTCTACCTGCAGCTTCTTTCTGCCTGTTTACTTGTCCTTAACCTACTTTTCAAGGCCTTATCTTTGAGGTACATAGCCAGTTGGCAAGGGGTTCTTTATTCATGGTTAGTTTAGAATTAGCAAGGGGATGTGTGGATGTCTATTGTAATCTGTAATTATATGATGAATATAGTGACTCTAGAGTGGGTACTGTAGTCATCGTCGAATTTTATTATGTGTGTGTGTACAGTATATGTATGTATATATGCGTGTGGACAATATGTATATATATGTGTGTGTGTGTATGTTAGCGCTTAGGTGTGAATGCATAGTGCCCTAAAGTTAGCCAGCTGTGCCCCCGACATGCTTCCCCTATATTGTATTGGAGGTGGGGGTGGTTTATTGTTTGTGCACTTGGCTTTTTCTCTGTGCCCTGCCTGTCAGCTCTTTCTCCCTGTGTTTTTTTGGTGCAAGTCCCAAGGCCATTTATTTCTCTCTCTTTTTTTTTTTTTTTTTTTTTTTTTTTTTTTTTTTTCTCTATTTCTCTAATCCTGTCTTGGATCTCTTTTCTAGTGGAATTTCTCTAGTAAAGTTTTTTTTACCTCTTTATAGTCAGAATTAGGTAGAAGACCTAATGAGGCCCCTATTCTATTATTTCCTCTCTACAGACTCCTGACCTCACAGTATCTGTTGATCCTTGGTTGTCTCCTTTTATTTATTTACTATGATGAAAAATTTGAAATACACAAAAATTACCAGATTCTGTGGTTCAGGGTCTCCTTCCACAGGTGTTTCTAGGTTCTTCTTATCTCGAACAAAGAATTGGACAAAAAACAACTGGAAAAGGTAGCAGGGTTTTAAGTTTATTAAAGGTAGAAAAAGAAATATGTTCTGCAAAGTGAGTTTGGTCTCATTAAAAGTAGCAAAATAGCCAGGCGTGATGGTGCACGTCTGTAATCCCAGCACTCGGGAGGCTGAGGCAGGAGGATCACTATGAGTTCGAGACCAGCCTGGGCTACATAGTGAGTTCCAGGTCAGTCTCACTACATAGTGAGACCCTGTCTCAAAAACCGAAAAAAAAAAAAAAGTAGCAAAATAAATACACACTAAAAGTGGACCAATGTGCAAGAGAGAACACAGTGGTCCTGAGCTCAGTGGAGGCTATCCTTTTGTATCCCTCACTCCTCAGCCTGACTTTAGGTCTAGGTCATTGTTATAAAAAATGTGCTGTGGTTCTGCTAGAAGAATTAAAGACAGCACTCTGATTGGTATCAGTGCAGGACTTTGGGAACTGTTCTATATGTTTGTCCTGGGACTTTGTGGTTAACAGGTTACCCCTCCTTCCTCAGCCAGTTTGCCAAGCCCTAATTTCATGCCTCAAAAGGAAGAATGGTATACATCTCCTAGTTTCCAGTGCTGTCACTATTTTATCTGTATAAATTTAGGAGTAGGCTCTAAGAAGCTGAGTGGAGGGGGTAAGTGCTAGCGTCATAGGCCTATAATCCCTACTATTTGGAAGGCGAAGGCAGGAGGATCTGGAGTTAAAGACACCCCCCTCCCACCAACCATGATCTTTTTTGTTTTGTAGGAAAACATTTCGTGTTAATATTTTCACATCTTTCCTCAATGAAGGCAATCTCCTGCCTTTTATTGAGTAATGTCTTTTTTTATGTTATACCCCTGTTCTTGATTACTCGTTGTTTTCCTGTATTAAGATAGTCTGTTTAATTTTACCAAAAAGTAAACAGCCAGGGTTAGGCCGGCTCAATGGGAAGGGCACATTTGCTTGTGTATGTGGGTGAGATCTTGGTATCAAACTGCTTTTAAAAACACCTTTAGAAGTTCTTATTAATAATGAGAACTTTTCTTTTTTCAGTGCTGTAGCAGAGGGAGTGGGGTGGGGAAAGGACAGAGGGGAGCAGTCTGCCCTGGTTAGTGTATTTTTTGAGCAGTGTTAAAATAGGTTAACATATTCAGATACATTGGAGAACGAATTGAAGGACTGCTTAAACTCTTGCTGTGACTCTGCCCTTCACCAGGCACATACACAGATACTTCCCCAAATACCTGTAATAGCAGTTCTCTGGTCTTTTGAAGGTTTAATGTAAATCAAATCAGGGTCCTTCTTAATTTTTCTTTTTCTCTTCTTATTTTTTATTTTTTCCTTTCTGTCTGAACTTTAATTTCTTAGTTTGCCAAGTTACTTACCGTTTATCTTTTCTCAGGCTCCAAATTGTCATGCAGTCTTGTTTTTGTACTTATGGGTTTAGGTCCTGCTGTATATTAGTGTATTTTGGGAGAAACAGTATGAATGAATATATTAAATTTGAATGTGTCAGCTTTCTACAGATATTTGCATAGTATGTTCTGGTGGTGTAGCCGGAACATGGAGCACAAAACTTGTATATGGAAGTTTGGTCAGGAAGTCTTTAAAGAACATCTTTTGATGATCAGAGAAAGGAATGTTTTGATTGTTTTATTTTAGAAGAACAGTTAGGGACCCAATGCGAACAGTGGTTTGGAATAGGGATAAATGAAGACTGAAGATACTGCTAATAATGAAACAGATGATAAGGACTTAAATTACAGTTATGGAAGGATGGTGGAACACTGGAAGAATATTGAAGAGACAGAATTAAAGATTTTTTAGATGTAGGGTGAAGAAAAAGAGAAACCAGGAAGTGGTTGTAATATAATTCATCCCTAGATGGATCATGGTTCATGTCACTTAAGGAAAGAAATGCAGAAACAGGAATAGTTTCTTAGATGATTTACAATTAAAAGTTTGAGATGTCTTCTGAGAGATGATGTTTTATAGTTATTTGAGTGTAGTTCAGAAAATGGGGTCAGAGATACTACATTTGGACTTAATCATGGGACCTAAGAAGAGAGCCAAGGCTAATATAGTATGCTAAAAAAAAGCCAATATCTAGATCGTGCTGTTCCTTTATTTTTTCTCTTCTTATTGAAAGAATAAGATTCACAGGAAATTAAAATATAATTGTTTCTCCTTACATCTTAAGGTAAAATATGATTTTATCCCCTCTTTAATTCAAATGGAATTCTTAAGTGATTTATTTTTGAGCTTTCATAGTCATGGACAGTGTTTATAGATAGTTACAGCAGGCCTAGAAAATGTTCACATTTGCTTAAGTCTGCATATTAGTTAATGAAACTATAGTGTAATGAATCTTAGGCTTTGAGAGACTGTGTGTTTAGTAGTTGCTTTTTTTTTTTTTTGCTGATGTTAGCATATTCTGCTTATTTGGATAAGCAATTGAGTATATAAATTTTAATTTTTTTTCAGCTTTAATTGAGTTTATTGGTACATTTTAGGGATGCAGTACAGTTACATTCATTGTTGGGATCTTGTATCTCCACATGACAAGTTTTGATTCTCATTATAAATTTTAATTTTCCTAAGAAATTTTCAGTTTACTTGATAAAATGAACTTGACTAGTTTTTCTTAATATTCTGTCCTTTCTTTGTTCTTTGAAAAGATTCAGATATGGAGAATAGAATTTAAGTGAGTTTTAAAGAACAATATACCATTTTATTAAATAATGGTATCTTTATAATTCTCTTCTTTTGAAAAACTCTTCAATACTGTTCTAATTGACTGAATAGGAAAAATATATTGAGAGAAAGAACGCTTCTGTCTAAGAGAAACAGAGGGGCTGGGGATTTATTTCAATGGTTTTGCGGCCTGCCTAGCAAGTGCAGGGACCTAAGTTTGACCCGGGTACCAAAAACAAAAAACAAAAAGAGAGAAAGAAGCAGGACTGGAAAATGGGTTGTCCACCCACCCTACTTTTCAAAAATGTTTTATACAGCAAAGCCATGTGGTGAGGCGGGTACAAAGTGAGACAAAACTATAAGACCCACTGGCAATTTACAAGGTGAGCATGAGGTGGGACAAAGCCGTGACCAGCCAATAATATTACAAGTACAGTCACCCAGGTAATATTGATTAAATGGTTTTCAGATGGGAAGACAAGTCACATACAAGGAAGTTCCCATTTAGAATATCAATCACTGCTATCTATCTCTAGGTCCAGTTGATTTTTTTGAATAGAGAGAGTGCCAAAATTACACTTAATGTATTTAAGAATAAACTCTATGATTTGCACTGAAGTATTTTTTTCCCCAAATATAAAGATGAACTGAAAGACAAATATCCATAATCTCAAGTTTATCTCAAAAATTTGAACTCCAAAGAAATTGAAATGTTGAGCTGTGTGTGGGAGGCTGAGGCAGGAGGATCGCTGTGAGTTTGAGACCAGCCTGGGCTGCATAGTGAGTTCCATCCAGGTCAGTCTCAATGACATAGTGAGACCCTGTCTCAAAAAAAAAAAACAAAAAAAAAAAGAAAGAAAAATTGAAATATTGATTGCCAGGGGCCAGAAAAGGGGATCATGTTTTGGGCAAAGGGTACAAAGTTTGAATTGGAATGAATATATTCTGGAGACTTATACAAGAATACATTCTGGAATCTTGTACAAGATAATGACAATAGTTAATAGTGTATACTCAAGAATAAAAAGGACTGAACTTAGTGTATATGTCATCAAAAGGGAACAGTGTATACATTGGCCCTATAATTTGTTATAAACTATATTGACATTTGAATTATTTCCTAAATGAAGAGGTGTTTGATAGTTTGCCATTTTCTTTCTGTATTTATTAGATTATGGAGATTATTGTAGTCTTGAGTTGATTTTTAATCCTTTTTTTTTAAGTTCTTATAAGTGTTATACCAATCTTAAGACATCAGTAGATAAATTAAAATTCTAGATTATATTCTTTTTTATTCTTTTTGTTTTTGGTTTATTAAATATATTAACAAATGTTCTTCATTTTAAAAATTCACATTTTAAAGTATACATACAAAAAAGTGAAAATAAGATCTCGTTTTCTTTTTTCTCAGTATTTTTCTCTCTTCCCTATTTAACTAGTGTTTTTCTGTTTGCTTCCAAAAATGTTTTGATACATATATTGCATATCCAGACAAACAAAAATTTTAAAATAATTCTTTGAAATGTGAACTTTTTGTATACGCTTCTTCATTTTTTAAATTTGTAATTATTTTTTAGATGTTTTTCATTCCATTATAAATCCTTTCTTATGGATACTCAGAATCTTAAAATATGGATGTACCATTATTTATTGATAAACATTTAAGGTGGTTTCATCTTAGATTATTTAGGTGAAAGTGTTCATAGAATTTTAAATACCTATGATATTACCTCTTTTGTAGTCACAAGGAGGGAAAAATATTCCTTACACAGGTTGAATACCTATAATCTGAAAGTCTGAAATTTAAAATGCTCCAAAATCTGAAGCTTTTTGGATGCTGCTATGATACGTAGAAAATTTTATGTCCAACCTCATGTCAAAATGCAAGAACACTTACGATATTGTATAAAATTGCCTTTAAGCTATTGTGTGTAAGGTATATATGATGCATAAATAAATTTCATGTTTAAACTTGGATTTTATTGCCAAAGTACTTCAATATGTATATGCAGATACTATTCCAAAATCCCCAAAAAATGCAAAATGTGACTCACTTTTGATTTCAGGCATTTTATATATGGGATTCTTAGGCTGTGTACGTATCTCATAAGATATCAGATGTGAGTAGCTGTGGTATATACTGTATTTTTTTTTACTGCCATTATTAGGTAGTTGGATAGTATGTTTTTAATTTTTACTTTGCAGTTAGAAACAGAATCTTGTCGTAGTAGTGCTCAGAGTATGACCATCCTTAGAAAACCTGATTTTTTTTTAATCAATTGGTTTTAGGGCTTTTTTAAAAAAATAGGTAATTTTGTGATGATGGTGGTGGTGGGACTTAGAGTATCTTTATCATAAGTTGTATTTATACTTCCCATAGGGATTAGGAGCAGACAGCAAGAACCTGTACCCTTTCCTGCTCCCAGTTATCCAACTGAGTACTGATGTTTCCCAGCCTCCACATGTCTATCTTCTGGAAGATGGTTTAGAATTATGGTAAGAGGAAATTTTGATACCATGGATCTTTTTTTTTTTTTTTTTTTAATTCCTGGCCTTCTTTATCATGCCAATGAAGATCTTATATCAGGGCTTTAAATACTCAGCATTTAAAAATAAGGACGTGAGGCTGGGGACTTAGCTCAGAGGTTCCACTCTCTGCCTTGCAAACGCAAGGACCCAAGTTCGATCTCCGGTACCAAAAAATAAACAAACAAATAAATAAGGACGTGAGATTGATTTCCTTAAATGAGTAACAGTGCCTCTTTAGCAGTCATCACTCAGTGTAAGCTTATAGTATACAAAGTGAAAGGGGAAATTGCAGCAGGAACTTAGTCACATTTTATCCTTTGGAATTTGGTGTGTAAAATAGGAATCTTGACAGTTTTTTCAAACTAAAACTTGTGTTAAAATCTCCAGACTGAAAGAACATGTTTGTAGATATTTCGTTACTTAGCAACCTTTCATTACTTTATTCACTAAGTGCTGAGATGACATAACTTAGCCCCAAATATTAGTGGTAGTTATATTCCTCGTTTGTTATTTCACTGTTCATAGTAGTGTTATGTTTGAAAAAAGAAAAACACAACTTACTCCTTCAGCAGCTTAGTACTACAAATGTTTATTGACTACCCATTATGTGGGTGAAGAACTATGCTAGAAAATCCTCTTGTTTTATTAAGCTTGTTTTGCTGATTGAGTTTTCCCCAGTTTAATTGTATATGAGAGGTTTAAATATTTTACTACAGAGCAGTGGTGGTGAAACTTTTAGAGGCTTCAGAGATAAAAACATCCTGCTGCAGCATGCATGCCGCAGGTTATCTACCACTGGTATAGAAACTGACAGGAATTAAAAGAGCCAATAATAGAAGTCAGCCATAGAAGAAATGAGCACTTGTTGATTACCCTCGTTACTCTTCCTTCCTTTCATTTTTAATTTTGTTTAGATATCTAGGAGTTAACAGTTTTGGTTCTTAAAAGTTATCTTGGTGCAAATTAGAAACTAATGATCTATATCAGAATACCAAATGAATTATTTTAAAACTTAACTAGGTAGATACTTATTAATAATTTGTAATTTGGGTTTATCATATTCCTTTCAAGGTTATGTTATTTAAAAACATTTAAATTATTAATAGTTGTTTAAAGAATTAGGGCACAAATTTCTTCATATGTTTTTCTTCCTGAATTAGAGTTCATTTTGGAATTAGACAGATATAGGTACTAATTCCAGTTATTACACTGTATTTGGTTTGTGACTTGATTGTTAATCATCTTCTGAGAGCCTCAGTTTATTTATCTGGAAACTAAGGAAAAATAATTGTCATGAAAGTAGGATAATTTTTCATAGGAAAATGGATGTATATTGAGGACATACTCTTAAATGAAATAAATAAGACGTGTAAATACTGAATAGTTTCTCTGTTGTGAAGAACTAAAAGTGTAAATAAGATTCAAATTGTATATATGACAATGTGAAATAGGAAGAAAAGGGCTAAAGGTGTAGGGGAAGTGGGAAACATAAGGGAAAAGAAAAAAATATGAGAAAATGGAATCAAAGTCTTTGTAAATAGGGGAAGGAGAGAGGGAGAAGGGAGGGCAGGAGTAAGGGGAAAAATGAGAACCAAGACCTGTCATGTAAAGGTACAAGATCCCAATGATGAATGTAACTGTACTGTATACTTAGAAAGTACCAATAAACTCAATGAAAAAAAATAGGACACATGTAAATAATAAATAGTTTCTCTAGTGTGAGAACCTGAAAGTGTAAATAAGGACTGAAAGGTATAATAGATAATGTGAAATATGAAGAACAGGTGCAAATGGTAAGGGGAAGTGTGAGGGGTAAGGGAAAATAAAGAGGTGAATGGAATTAATATGAGAAAAAGATAAATGGAAAGAAAGTGTTTATAGTTGTAGGGAGCGGTGAAGGGTTTGAAGGGAGGGCAGGGCGTGAGGAAGAAATAAGAACCAAGATGGATTATGTAAAGGTGCAAATTTCCAATGATGAATGTCATTGTATAGTATACCTTAAATGTACCAATAAAATTAATTAACAAAAGAAAAAAGAAAGTAAGATAATTTTTACTCACCTGGTTAGCACTTTGTATATGGCATTTAATGTCTGTGGATATATAAGCTTGCCTGGGAAGAGATGGACAGATTAAGAATTTTCTGCAGGGCAAAAATCCAGATGAGTGTAAAACATTTTGAGGACATGGAGGACCCATCTAGAAAAACAGAAAGAATGTCGCCTGATGCATTGTAGTAGGAAAACCCAGCCAAGAGAGGAGAGTATTTCCTAAAAGATGGCTTTGGATATGTCACCTATGCTAAATGTTGCTGATTGTCCTAGTAAGATAGTACAGAGAAGTGAATTTGTCCATGTGAAGATGATAGGAGGATTTTCAAGTAGTGTGTTGAAAACAAACTAGAATTAAGGATGAATTGCAGATAAGAAAGACAGCATTGACAACTTGCTTAATAGCTTTTACTATTAAGAATACATATAGAGTATAAGGGAGGTATGGGGAATGCAAAGCATTCAGAGCTCAAGTGGAGGGATTCAATGTTAGTAGCATTAGGGTTACTTCATGTTAATTGAAACTAGGAAGGTAGATTGCCAAAGTTGTTCCATGTAATACAGTTTGTGTTTTCTCACTAAAAGATGAAGCCTGATCATTAGCTGATAGTTAATGGACTTGACCAGGAGTGTACACACAATATGAGAGATCTTTGGGGGAGAGATAGCGCATGCCCAAAATCCCAGCACTCTGGAAGGCTGAGACAGGAGTTTGCAAGTTGGAGTCCATTCTGGGCAGTGTAGTGACTTAGCAATACTCTGGTTTAAAAAAAACGAAAGAAAAGGGCTGGAAATATAGCTCGTTACCAAAGCCCTAAATTCAACCCCCAGTAGTATTAAAAAAAGGAACAAACAAAAAAGAATGAAAATTTGAACTTGATATGGATAATGAGTACCAGTTATGTTCAGGAGTATAAAGTGAAGCCCATAGACCAACTATGTGATTAATTTTTATAGGTGCTTTTTTTCTTTTGATACATTTCACTAGGGATTCATTAAGGACCCTAGTTTGGGCTTTGACTCTCTTATTTGTTTCTTACTTATTACTCCCTGCTCTAATATTTTTATCTGCATGTATTAGTTTTTCTTAGTCATCTGACCTACATTCTAAGAATCAGGCCAGGAATTTTTAGCTTTTCTTCTTTCTTATTATAAACATGTACTACTTTTAACTTAGTTTAAAGCAGAATTTGAGCAAAAAAATCTTTCATGGAGAAGGTATTGTTTGAAAATAGGATGGGATAATGAATGATGGAAGCAATAAGCAGTGTCAGCTACATTACCATTAAGTGTAATATGATAGTCATCATTTAAAACAGAACAAAACAAAACTTGATTGCTTTGGCCATCTACTCACAAAATTATTTTATCTTTTAAAAAAAATGTTAGAAATCCTTGACTTCCTGAAATAAGCTTTAGCTGCTGAGGTGAATTACACTTTTAAAACATTACAAATTTTTTTTCCAGTATTACATCTAATTTAACTTTTCTTGTATTTATAAATGAGTTGGATCTGTGATCTCTATTTTGTGGTACTGTTTGATTTTTTTTTCGTGGTTATGTTTATTTTGCCAATTTACCAACTTTAAAAATTATTTATTTACACTAGAATAGTTCTTATATTTGTTATTTGGTTATTTGAAGAATTCATTAATGAACTGGAAATGAACCCATGGCAGGAACTGGGGATTTATTTACGCTTTTAATAACATCCTTAGATTAGTGTAAGCACATTTATTTTAATGTTAATTTTTTATGTCTTAGGCACTTAGTCCCTAAAATAGAAAATATCTGTATGTTTATCTGTGCCATTTATAATTTATAGGTTTATTCTTTTTTTTCCTTTTAAAGTATATTTATTAGAGACTAGTCTTTGTTGTTATAAAAAAAACCTCTTAGATTTATAAATTCTGTGCTTTTGTCCTTTTGTTTATTTCTGCTCCAAATATCTTGCTTCCCGCGTTTGTGTATGTGTTTGTTTTTTTTTTTTGGTCTTGGCAGCAAACTTGGGTCCTTGCGCTTGCGAGGCAGGCGGCGGAACCACTGAGCTAAATCCCCGGCCCCTATGGGTGTATTTTTCTAAACCTGTGAGATAAATGATTAATGTATGAACTTTTTTAAATTAAACAATAAAGCATTGCAGTTATGAATTTATCTTAAGAGTATAACTACCTATTCCATTAAATTCTAATATATAGTGTCCTATTTTTTATTTTGGTGGTGGCATATAGATACATTAGCAATTGTTTGACCCAGAGTTGTTTATTTTTACTGTTACTAAAGTATGATTCAGGTCTAGTTTATTACATTACCATTATAAAATATGGCTTGTGTATATAATATATATATATATCTGTCTCATGATCTTTTTATCTATCTTGTGATTTTTTTTTTTTTACTAGTAAAGCTTCATTTTATAAGATATTCACATTCCATTGCAATGGTTATACTCTTAAGATAAAAAAAAAACTTAAAAAGAACAGATGCATATAAGAGTTTGCATCACATCTGTTCTTTAAGTTGTCAGTTGCATAGTTCACATTATTATTTTGCTTTTTTCTTCTTGACACTGATTTATTAAAATATCTCACTGGGTTTTCTGTGTGTCAGTTGTATAGTTCACATTCTTAGTTTGCTTTTTTTTTCTTGATACTAATTTATTAAAATATCCCGTTAGGTTTTCTATTGTGTCATTGTTCTTTTTCATTTCTGTTTTGGTCTGTATGTTTTGAAAAATACTGCTCACTATACATTTGTTATTTTGATACTTTTGTATATTGTTAAAATATTTATTAAATTAGAAATTGAATATTTTCATGAAGTGTATGACATAATATACATGAAGTGATTTACATTCCATGTTTTAATTCTTTTGTGTTTGAATTTTATGTGATTAATGTTGCCTTATAGATTGTTTTCTTTAGATTTGACTTCTGAATAATAGGATTTATTCTGTGGAAGCCACTATAAGGAGTAAGAGCAACAGCCCCAGTAACCTTCTGAAGGCACAAGCTTCGGGGACAGTATTAATTTGGTTCCACTGACAGACTTTTTATTGTAATTTTCATTTTATTTACTAAATTAATAACTATGGTTTATAGTAAGTCATAATATCTGGTTAAGACACTATCCCTGTCCACGCTACTGTCCCCACATATAACTTGTTTCTTTTCTTGAAAAACATTTTGTCTGTTTTTGGCCTTTGTCCTCCAAGACAGCTTGTGTCTTTTTCGGGGAAAGCCCTACAGGGATTTGAACTGAATTTATTTAACTATTTATTTATTTGTTTGTTTATTTATTTATTTATTATGAGATGGTGTGCCTTCCAAACATTGAAGGACTTTATTTATATCATAGTAAAGGTTACATACGGAAATTGGCATACACTGTTCAACAGTTTAGACAGCATTGATATCTTTATGGTGTTGAATTGTTGATAACATCATCCATTTACATCTTAACTTTGTTGTGGCATATAGAAAGTCTGTTGGTTTTTGTATATTGATATGTTTAGTAACCTTACTGAATGCTTATTTAGCAAGCTAAAAAATTTGTCTTTGAATTATTTGTGTCTTTCTTTTCTGTAAGTCTTTTGTGAATAAAGACTAACTTTTTTTCATTGAGTTTAATGGTACTTTTTAGGTATACAGTACAGTTACGTTCATCATTGGGATCTTGTACCTTTACATGATGTATCTTGGTTCTTATTTTTTTCCCATACCCCTGCCATCCCTTCACCCCTCCACCCTTCCCTATTTACAAAGACTTTGTTTCTGTTTTTTTCTTTTATCTTCTTTTTTCTTTTCCCTTCTTTCCTTTCCCTTACCCTTCCCATTTCTCCTTCTCCTTTAGCCCTTTTCTTTCTATTTCACTTTATCATTTATGCAATTTGAACCTGATTTACACTTGTAGTTTTTCACCCTAGAGAAACTATTGGATATTTACACATGTGTATCCTATTTCTTTCACTTAATTTTTTTGTCAAGTGTGGTAGCACACACCTATAATCCAAGCATTGGGGAAGGTGAGGCGGGAGGATTGCAAATTCAAGGCCAGCCTGAGATACATAGTGAGACATTGTCTCAAAAAACAAAACAAAACAAAACAAAAATCGCTTTCTTATTCTTTTTTTCTTTTTGGTAATGGAGATTGAACTCGGATCCTTGCGCTTTCAAGACAGGCCACCGAACCGCTGAGCTATAAGATTTCTCTTATTTGTTGTTGTTTTTTTTTTTTGGGGGGGGGTACCGGGGATTGAACTCGGTTCCTTGCGCTTGCAAGGCAGGCCACCGAACCGCTGAGCTAAATCCCCAGCCCACTTTCTTATTCTTGTGTCTTTTATAACTTAGTTGATGTATTATATGAGGCCTTCCTTGTATAAATTGGATGAATGTAGAGATTGCAAGGTAATACACCGTGTTCTCAGAGGCTTGTTCTGCCTTGCCAAGAGAAGTTTTAATAGGTCATCACTGAGTGCTTAATTGATACTTTTTTTAGCAAATTAAAGACTCTCCTTTCTATTTATAATCAGATAAGATTTTAAACTAAATATTATATTTCAATTAGGATTTTGTCCTTTTCTGGCTGTTAAGTGAAAGCTGTGATTTTTCTCTTTTGACTTCTTTGAGGGTGGGAGGAAGGTGCATAGATAAACCAGTCATACACTTCTGTGTTAAATCACAACCCTTATATACTATGTAATTTTTTGGACTTTTATTAGTACACGTTTGCCATAGGTAATGTTTGCATTCACTATAGGGTATTAGTACATGTATGTAACACTTTTCAATTCTCTTCTCTTTCTCCCCCTCCTTGCACCCCCGTTTATTTTCCCAGCATCATATTCATTTATTTATTTTACTTATTTATTTATGCTTTATCTATATTATTCATTTACCATTTATAAAGTTAATTATCATATGTTCATATTGAAAACAAGATCAATAGGCCAAAGAATGTCTAAAACATGTAAGACAGTTATACTAAGGGAGGTATGCTTTCATCTTTTTGTGTGTGTGTGTGTGTGGTACCGGGGATTGATCTTAGGTCCTTGTGCTTGCGAGGCAGGTGGCAGAACCACTGAGCTAAATCCCCTGGCCCAGGTATGCTTTTAGATACATTGTCAGCACTGGATTACCATACCTTTTTTATATTCTTTCTTTTTTTCCTATTATCTTTTATTTTGCAGTTTATCTATTGAGTTTTTCATATGAGGAACCATGTGATATTACAGCTTGTGTGTCTAAGTTATTTCACTTAACAATATGTATCAAGATGCATCTATTTTCCCACAAATGGCTCATGTTTAACCTTCATGGCAGAGTAATACTCCATTGTATGTAAATACTAATATTTATTTATTTACTTATTGGGGGGAAATCCATTCATCTGTTGATGGACATACAGGTTGCTTTCAAGATTTAGCTATTATGAATTGTGCTGCTGTAGACATAGGTATGCATACATCACTGTGGTACGCTGACTTTAAGTATTTTGGGAAAGTACTTAGATGGGGAATAGTGCTCGTTTTGGCAGCACATATACTCAGATGGGCAATAGCTGGGTCAAATGGAATTTCTACTGTCAGTTTTTTGAGGAATCACCATTGTGATTTTCATAGTAGTTGTATCAGTTAACAGTCCTATCACAATGGAGTAGGGTTCCTTTCTCCCCACAGGCTCACCGGCATTTGTCATTGGTTGATAGTAGTCATTCTTTCTGGAGTAAGACGGAATCTCAGTTTTACTTTAATACACGTTTCTCAAATGGCCAGTGATGTCAAACATGTTTTCATGTATTTATTGGCTGTTTCTATTCTTCATCAGAGAAGTGTCTATTCATATCAGATGCCCATTTTTTAATTGGCTCTTTAAAATTGGGGGTGCCTAATTTTTTGAGATTTTTATATATTCTAGGTATTAGTCCTTTGTCTGAGGAGTAGCTGACAAATATTTTTGCCCATATTTTAGGTTGTCTCTTTACTTTTAGTGGTTTCCTTTGCTGTCCAGTGCTGTATTTTTTATATACTGATTATTTCAAAGTATTCTAATGGTATGAGATTGGATTATAATAGCACCACCCCCAAACCCTTTTCCCGAAATGCAACCCAAAGCCTTCTCAGTGAGCTACATACCCACCCAGTTTTTAAATTTCTTATGTTGAAACAGGGCCTCACTAAGTCATAAAATTGTCTAAGCAGTCTTCCTGCCTCAGACTCCTAGAATGCTGGGATTATAGGTGTATACTAACACACCTGGCTTTTAATTGGCCTTTGTTCTTTTTTGGGTTTTTGAGACAAGGACTTTCTGTATTTATCAGGCTGGGTTTGAACTCACTATATAGCCCAGGCTTGTCTCAAACTTTGAGTGATCCTCCTACCTCAGCCTCCTGAGTGCTGGGATTATAGGCATGTGCTACAATGCCTGGTCTTAGATAATTTTTGTAACTGTGTATTTCATCTTTTCTTCCTCTAGATGAGAATGGTTTTCTTTGTTTTTAAATTATTTTATTAATTGCTTTAATTGTCATGCAAAGTGATTTGATCATCTGTTTTTCCCTCCCTAGGTTAGTAACATTGGAAAACAGTCCATGTATTACACCAGAGTTGCTTCGTGTATTTCAGAATATGTCACCACTACTTGGTATGTATAAAGCATTGTCTTACAAATCAGCAAGCATGCTTTTGAGGAAGTATTGTCTTTAGAGCACACATTCTATTTTTATTAGAGTTCCTGATGTTAACAAAATAAGTTGAATAATATTTTTATAGTTTTTAAGTTATTGTATCTGACTTTTTAGAATAATTTAGGCTCATTGAAGAGTAAATTACATTGCCTTGTGCAAAATTTTGTAATAAAAAGTATTCTTAGGCATTTAATTACAATTTAAGCTTGAACTTTGATAAATTTTTTGCTTGATAACAGTTTTATATAATACTTAAAAGACTATGTTGAGGCTGTGGTATAGCTCAGTGGTATAGCATTTGCCTAGCATGCACCATGCCCCAGATTTGATCCCTAGCACCAAACAACAACAACAACAAAAAGTATAAAATAAACTTTTAGGAAAATGATTTATTGTATGTAAAGTTGCTTTTGTATAGTGTGGTTTCATTTTCTTTTATGAAGACATTTTGTGCAACTACTTCTTTAAATTGAGCTTTGTACATATTCCTTTGTTTTAATTAAGGAACCACTGAAATTAAATTTTAGGAAATTATATACATTGTTCATTGAAGTGTTACTTATGAATGAGCTATATAATTATGAAGCTTAGTAGGTTTAAAAACACTGGGTAAAAGGCATAATTGTTGTGAAGACTTTGAGAACTTGTCCTTAGATAGTTTTTCAGAAGTAAAAATATTCCTGAGGTATAATGAGACACTTGAAAAGTAGTCATTGTTTGAAAATATTAGCAAACATGAACTGACACACAATTGGAACTGATTAAAATTTTTTTTGTCTCATTTGTTAGATAACCATGGTGGCTAAATAATATGATTGGTTGTTCATGCTTCTTCTGAATTCTTTCATTCTTCTATTTCTTTGCTCAGAATAGTTATATCTCAATAGCCAAAGTAACCATTTGTTTTCCAGTAAAGAGCTATTTGCAATTTTTCATCTGTCTTCCCCATAAAGGGTAAAATTTCCTAAAGATGAAGTCACTGGCAATAAGTCAGCCATTGATTCCTGATTTCTTCGGAGAACTTTTATCTTTCATTCATCATGACAAATAGGAAATGTCTCCTTAACTTGCTTTTACTCTCTGGTGAAAAGCTTTTCAATTTTGCTCTATGTTATTTGGAAACCACATACAGTTCCATTCAGTGTAGTTCAGATACTTCTTTATACTTGACCCATTATGATCTTTGTCATGAAAAGGATTCTGCCACTTTCACATACCAGAGACTTCACACAGTTTTGTTTCATCGTTGTATTTTACTTTTAAGACCTCCCTCTCTCCCTTTTCCCTCTTTTATTTCTCTTTGCCTCCTTTCTCTCCTTTCTCTCCTCTCTTTGGCAGTATTGGGGATTGAGAATCCAGGACCTCAGGTATAGTAAGCAAACTTTCTACCACTGAGTCACATCCCCAGCAGCAATAAGAACTTTTGTGTATTTAGAACAATGTCTAATATGCAGTAAACATTTGATGTTTATTATTGTTATGGCTGTTACAACTATTTACATTACCACTATTTTGAAAGAAAAAAATACTCAGCTATCAGCTGTCTCTGTAGGATTTGTTTCCCAGTTGAAACAAGAGCTAATGAAGGGAAGGGGATGTAGCTCAGTGTTAGAGTGCTTGTACTGTACTGACATTGCAACCTTGTAGTGGACATTTGGCTTAATTTTTTTTTAATGTATTTATTTGTTTTTGTTTTTGTTTTTTTGAGGCATGGTCTAACTGTGTAGTTGAGACTGACCTGGAACTCACTATGTAGCCCAGGTTGGTCTCGAACTCACAGCGATCCTCCTGCCTCAGCCTCCCGAGTGCTGGGATTACAGGCTTGCACCACCATGCCCGGCTGGTTTAAATTTCTTCCTTTTTTTGTTACTGGGGATTGAACTCGGGTCCTTGCGCTTGCAAGGCAGGCCACCGAACCACTGAGCTAAATCCCTGGCCCTGCCTTAAATTTTTTTAATTTCCAGAGATTTAAAAAAATCATGTACAATGAATATAGGTGATATGTATACTACTGAATTATTTCTACTTTTATTCTTGAAAAAGAAGGTATTTTATGCATTGTACTTTGTATATTTGAAGCAATAATATGAAGAAATTTTATTTTAAGGAGAAGTTGAATTTGGCTGATGATGTTTATTGTATCTTCAACATTACATTTAGGTTTGTTTGAATTTTCTATCACTAATTGATCTTGTTTGACGTGTATCTTTCTGCAGGTACATTCTTTCAGATAAATTTCTAAGTTTATTGTTAAATAGGACAAGTATATTTGTTTTAATCTTCTAATAGAGTCAGTTTTGGTGTCAGTTAAAACATACTGTTATTAGATCAGTGATATTTAAGAATTTACTTATTGTCTGATTGCTCTTTTAAAATCAGATATAAAACTTTTAGCAGGAAGTTCCCTTTTGTAACCTAAAATGCATAAAACTAACAGTACCAAACACTTCAAAATATTTAAGGTAATGATTGTTAGTATGTTAATTAATTCTTTTTGTTTTGTTTTTTTTTTTTGGCACCTGGGATCAAACTCAGGTCCTTGGGCTTGGGCAGAACCTCTGAGTGAAATCCCTGGCCCCATTAATTCTTTTATGTCCTTTAAATGTAAGAAGAAGCTGAAAAATTTTAAAACAGGCTATAACTAAAAGTAATTATTTTAATTTAGTTCTAAAGACTTGTGTTTTTTGGCCTTTAAATCTATTGTATAGTTTTAGTTTACTTATTACTCTTATTACTTAAAAAAGGAACTGACTGGCTTGCGTTTATGTTCTCAATGCCAAACTAATGTTTCTTGAACAATACAGTTTTTCTGCTGGTGAATTCCTATCTAATTTGAAACAAGAAAAAATTTACATTTGCAATTCCAAAAATAAAGCATTAAATAGTTGTAAGGGTAAATATTAAGTAGTTTTCTTTTAAATGTCTATAATTCAATAATTTATTCCTTATCCCTTTACAGAAATTGAATGCATGAAATGTAAAACTAAATACAAATTAAAAATAGCAAAAAGAATAAAGAAAAACAAAATGGAGCAGATTATAAAATATAATTAGACAAATAAATATGTATAGATGTATAGATCATGATTAGAGATGGTACTTTGTTGAGTAACAGATGTACCTGAAAGCTCTCAGCATTTTGTCGAAAAAAAAAACTAATCAGGGATTTAACTCAGTGGTTCCACTGCCTGCTTCGCAAGCCTAAAGTCCTGAGTTCCATCCCTGGCAGCAAAAAAAAAAAAAAAAGAAAAACTAATCACTTAAATTAGAGGTTTTTAATCTTGGCTCTACTGACATTTTGGGCCAGGTAAACTTTTGTTGTGAGGGGCTTTCTTGTGCACTGTTGGATATTTAATGGTATCTCTGGCCTCTATACGTTAGATGTTACTAGTGACAGTCAAAAATGTTTTCATGTGTTGCCAAATGTCTTGTAGGGAATAGACTTGCCTCTGATGAAAAAGCATAGACATAAATATTTGCCATCTGTTAAAATAAATAACAGTTGTGTTGCATGATTGAAAAAAGGAGATTTTCTTCCATGTTAGTGCACGTGAATAGAATTTCCAAAGCATTTGCAGTAAAGAATGGCAGGTTTCAGCTGGGCATGGTAGCACACAGCTATAATTGGGGAGGTTGAGGCAGCAAGATTGGTGTGAATTGAGGACCAGCCTGGACTCCATAGTGAGTTGAAACCTAGCCTGAATTACATAGTGAGACTATCTCATAAATGAATAAGTGAATGAATGAATGAGTGAATGGCTTTAAGCATATTTTTGAGTTATGTTTTGATCTGTATAATTATGTTTCTCTCACACACATACTGTTGCATCATTGTTGTATGTAGTGAGTCATGTAAAATTGCTTCACATTATCATTTGATCACATTGTTTTAAGAAAATGGTTTCTGTTTTGCCCTTGAAAGGGAATAGCTAAAAACAGTATCTTTTTCCTTTGTTGTTTTAGTAATAACGTGTTTAATAACTTTTTTATGTGCAAGCTTTGAGGAACAGATTTGAAGAACAAAGCCTGAGAATTGGGACTCTTAAAATGTAATATAATTTTTTTTAGAGTATAAGACAGAATTGCTTTTATTTTTTATTTTTTCTTTCTTTCTTCTTTTTAGGGTCTCACTAGGTAGTATAGCCTGGCCTTAAGCTCACCATGTTTCCTAGGCTGGCCTTGAACTCATGGTGATCTTCTTGCCTCAGTTTCCTGAGTGCTGAGATTATAGACATGCACTACCATGCCAGCCTCAGAATTAATTTTCTTAACAAAACATATATTCAGTGCCAATGCAGTAAGACTCAGTAAATGCTCATTGAGTGAACGCAGTTAAGCACATGTTGAAGTATAATGAGAAAATAATTAATTTACATGTTGTTTGCCATATTAGCATTAAGAATTTGGATTGAAACAAAGGATTTGGTCTAATGCTTATCTACTTTTTTTTTCTGAATAGAAACGAGGAGGGGTTGATGTTTTTTCTAAATTGTTTTAACTACTAGAAGGTAAATGAGATAAACTTAAGTTATAGGTTTATGCCTGTTTTTAGGTGAACATTTATAGATAACTACTCTGAATAACAATCAGAAAAGTTTGTAGAGAAAGGTATATAGCAATATTAAATTGAAATGAATCATTTCATTTAAATTGAACAATAATTTGTCCTTAATTAAAATTTTTATTTTACAGAGCTAAGTTCAGAAAATCTCAGAACCTGCTTTAAGATTATCAATGGTTATATTTTTTTATCATCCACAGAATTTTTACAGGTATGTTGGAGTAGATTTTGCATTGTAAAAAGTATTTTAGGGCAACCCAATTTCCTGTCCCCCTTCTGTCTCTTTTAGGCAGAAGCTTTCTTTCTCCTAATAAATTTTTCCTACTCTTATAAAAAAAATTACTTTAATAATTGTTTGCAGTCAGGAGATGCCTTTTTAGAATCTAAGCTTGACCTTTTACTTTAAGGGGGGAAATTCTCTGAAAGCATTCTTTGCTGCAGGGCAAATAGGAATTTTGCAGTTCTAGTGTCATTTAATGCTGAAAATTATATAATCTTGTATGTATTCCTATAAAATTAATACATTAATTAAATATTGTTGAGGTCTTACTGAAACCTTTATTGCTTATACCATTAGCATATAATTCTCAAATGGGTTATGAGTCTCATTTAATTTTATGCCTTTTTGATATTATAGATACATTCTTATGTATATATTGATTTTTTATTGAATTTCAGACATATGCCATAGGTCTTTGTCAGTCCTTTTGTGAGCTATTAAAGGAAATTACTACAGAAGGTCAAGTTCAAGTGCTCAAGGTATTGTCATTTTATCAAAAATGATTAAAAAGTTATTTGTTAAGCTGAATATGAGTTTTTTGTGACATTAATCCTCCATTTGAGTGCGGATGATTGACACAAAGAAGAGTTGGTATAATTTTGGAGAAGATATTTTCTTTTCTAGTACTGGTTTTCATAATCTCTTCACTGGGGGTCTCAAATTTGAATGTACATTCAAATCGGCTAGAGATCTTTTTAAAGTGTAATTCTAGGGCTGGGGATGTAGCTCAGTGGCGCAGCACCTGCCTGGTAAGTGCAAGTTCCTGAGTTCAATCCCGGGTACCGCAAAAAAAACAAAAACAAAAAACAAAACAAGCAAACAAAAAACCCAGCCCATGCTCAATAAAGTGTAATTCTGTATTTCTGAGTCTCAGCTGATTGAGATATTGCTTGTCCTGACACCTCACTTTGTGTGGCAAGTGTTTAAAAAGTTTTTAATAAATTACCCAAAGATCAGTGACATCTAATACTTTACCTCTTCAGTTTGTTAGCCTGCTTTTGGGATAGATTTTTTAAAATCATATTTGGTGGGCTGGGGATTTAGCTCAGTGGTTCCACCACCTGCTTCACTAGCGCAAGGTTCCAAGTTCTATCCCTGGTACCAAAAAAAAAAGAAAACCATATTTGGTAGTTTTAATTTGAATTAGCTATTGAATTTAGAGTACCAAGTTTGTCAGAATTATATATAATTAAGTACCAGTAGCATTTAAGTGATGTACCATGTTTATATATTAGCCTCTATATTAAAGATATACATAGTAGTAAGTGTATAATGTTTAACTTAAACATAGATATGTATATAAATCTGTATTAAAATGTGTCTTTACAGATACGTACATATATACATGCATGTAATTTATATATGAACTTTGAGAGAAGGTATATCTGTTTAATTTTTTATCTGTGTTATAAGATAACAGAGCAGAATTCTAGTTAGGTAAGTGTTACAATCACAACAGAGGAACATTTGTGGTGTGAAAACTATGATGTTGTTTTAGGTCTTCAGAAGTGACTTTCTAGTGGGCCACCTGCTTCACAAGTGCGAGTTCCTGAGTTTGATCACCAGTACCAAAAAAACAGTGACTTCCTAGGGAAAAACATGGTTTCCCAAAGGGATTCTTTGAATGCAATTTATTGAAGTTAGCACAATAAGTGTGCAACAATTCTAAGTATACTTGAGGAATAAGTAAAAGTTTGTGTGGATGGTCAGATCATAATAACCAATTATGCATTTTATAATGGACCAAATCTGATCTAAAAACTTCTTTTTGCAGCTTTTCTGTAGCATTATTAGTAAAGTGGTTTTGGAAAACAACTTGTAAAATATTTGAAATGGGCATTGTGAAACTTCTGTCCAAAATAAGGCAAGGCTTTTGGGTATCCTAAGGAGAATATTTACTTTTTATTTTTCTTGATATATTCTCACAAAATAGATGGAATATAGTATAGCAGGAATGACTATGAACTAAGGCAAGATTGTCAGGTTAGAATATGGGCTTGGCTAATTCAGAGCTGTGTGATACAGCAATTTACTTTCTCTCTCACTTTCTCTCTGTAGAATAGGGATAATAACTTTACCTGGTTCCTATTGTAAAGGATGTGAGTCTGTGAGGATTAGTTGAGCTGATGTATATAAATACACTTATAACAATAAGTACTAGTATAACATTTGTAAGAGTTATTTGTTTTTTCTCATTGTGTGACCGTCATAAACTCTGTGAGGGAAAAAGTGCTGATATGCTTATAGAGTAATTTATTTGCTAGATCTTTGATTATAGCAAAACAAAACACATCAAAATGTTCTATCTCATATGACCATTTCTTCTAAATAAATTCTCAATAAAAATAAAAGTACATTGTTTACTTTTAAAACTAAGCAGATGGTTTATTTAGTGAGAGTATATTATTAAGAGCTGTGCATTTCAGAAGTGTGTTGGAAATTGCATTTTTTTCCAGAATACCATAATCTTCAAAAACTTTGTTGTTGAAATTTCCAAACTTAGCCAGGCATGGTGGTACATGCCTGTAATCCCAGCACTCGCGAGGCTGAGGCAGGAGGATCATTTTGAGTTTGAGACCAGCCTGGGCTACATAGTGAGTTCCAGGTCAGTCTCAACTACATAGTGAAAACCTGTCTCAAAAAACCAAAAAAAGAAAAGAAAATTCCAAACTTGCATACTACTCACTACCCTAATAATTTTTAGTAGCAAAAATCTTTTTCTTTTGTTGAAATGGAAAGTGGTGATATTTTAATATTTTGGTTGAGGGCTGGGGATTTGGCTTAGTGGTTCCGCAGCCTGCCTCATAAGCACAAGGGCACGAGTTTGATCCCGGGTACCACAAAAACAAAAAACAAAACAAATATTTTGGTTGAATGGTTTTAATCATATATGTAGTAAAATATTTGTAATATTTAATGCAAGTTATGAATTAAGCCAGTTTCTCTGAAAGTAACCAGTTGTGTGTCATTAGTAGGATATAAGAACTTGAATTAAAAATTGAGAATCTGAATATATGTTTGACATTATTTTGTATAAACATTATAGTTAAACCCATATATTTCATTTGAAATTTCAGAAATTGGACTTTGGTATTTAATAAATCGATGGATGTCCAATACTAGAGATGTATTAGTTACCACAAATAAATTCCTTATTTTTTATGTAAAGCAGTATTTTAGGAGAATGGTGCTTTTACTTTATTGCCTGTATTTGAAGGTTGGGAGAATTCCCAAAATTGTTGCATTTTCCTGTTCTAAGATTTCTAGTATAGCTGTAATGTTTTTAATATTAGCTCATTATTTTCATTTTTAATCTTCCAGATACTGTTTCTTAATATAGTACCCTATATAACATTCTTAATATATTTTTGACTGAATGTCACTTACACTAATTTCTGACAACACTTGCAAGTAACTTCTTTGTTCTTTGAAGCAGAAAATTACAATGTTAGGAGAAAGTTGGATAGAGAAACCAATAACCTGCTTTGGGAGCAAATGGTTTAGAACAAAAATAGACTTTATTTGGTGCCTTGGAGCAAGTTATCTAGATGAGTACAATTATATTCTAAAAATACTCTAAATTGTTAACAGTTCTTTAATTTGATATGTGTTGAGGTATGTACATTCCACTTTGCCTTTTGAAATTCTTATTTTCCTGATTGTTGTATCAAGCATGACTGAGCCAAGTTGCTTTCTTTCAAGCAACTTATGATAAGGCTTATGATAACACAAATATTTTAAAGGTATATTTTGTAATAATAACTAATAAATGATTTACTGTGTGCTGCAATGTTTCTGAGCACATAATATATGCAGTTCATTTAATCCTCATGTAAACATATAATGACAGTATTGTTTCTGTTTTTATAGGAGAAAAATTAAATAACAGAGAGGTAAATAATTTATTTAAGGTCCCACAGCTATTCCTATTTCGGAAGTTATGCTCTTAGCCACTTTGTGTTTAGTGTAAGCATGAATCAAGAAAGTTGAGTCTGAAGCACAAATTGAAAATTTTCATTTTTCAGATAGGGTTAAAAAACACAGTTTATTAAGCTAGTCATGGTGGTGCACGCCTGTAATGTCAGCACTTGGGAGGCAGAGGCAGGAGGATCGCTGTTAGTTCGAGAGCAGCCTGGACTACATAGTGAGTTCCAGGTCATTCTCAACTACATAGTGAGACTGTCTCTAAAACAAAACAAAAAACTTAGCTTGTTGCAGGCATACTCAGGAAAGGGATGAATTAAAGTGAAAATGCAAACAGTTTTATTTGTAATAGCAAATTCTAATAAAAATACTGCATAATAGATGATTGGATCACTGGAGGGATAGTCATCCATCCAGTTAAGTACTGAGCCACTTTTCAAAAGAATGAAAATCTCTATATTAAAGTTTCAGTTTTACAGTAGAAGTAAAAAATAATGTCTAGAGTTTTCATCTGTTTAAACATGAACAAAGATAGAAGTGAAAGAACAAACTAAGTTAATGAAAATGGTTATCTAGTGGGGAGAGGGAGAGAGAATGGAAGCTAGATCTTTCCGGATATACTGTATTTGTTACATACTTTAGAGTTGGGAACCATATAGATGGTTTACATGATTGAAAGAAAAATTAGTTTGTAAAGATAACCATCAGACTGAGACATTTGAATTGACTATTACAGTGTTATATAGCAGTCATCTGAGAAGAATATTTCATGTAATGTTAATATATAGTATTTCACTTGTACATCTTTGGTGGGATACAGCATTAGAGCAAAAAGAAAAACAGGATCATGTGGCTCTTCGGGCACAGGGAGAGCACTGAAGATCCGGGAGCCCCTGGGCCAAAGGCTACTTCCTGCACTGTGGGATGTGGCAGGAACCATTCTTTGAGCAACACCTTCCCAACCCATCTGTCTGAGGTCACAGGGAGATAAGATCTCTGCCTCCTAAGGCTGAGAGACCCCAACCTTACCCTCAAGCTGAAGCTACAGAATTTTGAGGTGCCATGCAGATGTCTTCCCATAAAGGATCTATGGTGGCAAAGGGCAATGGGACTCCTGCCAGTAGCAGGGAAACTGACATGGTGGAACTATTGAATTGGATTCACTGCTAGAAGAAAAGGCCATTCGGGTGATGCCCAGCTCAACCAAAATTGAAGAGGAGTAGATATGCCTAGTGCTCCAGGAATAAGAGGAGGAATTGTGGTTGCTGATGCTCCCCCTGCAGGCCCACCACCTGTGGGGAAGTTAGAGGAGTTTAGGTGTAAGGTCTGGCAGGAATGTTGACTGGTTATTCCATTTCATGAGCTCCTGGACTGGCTGAAAGACAGTGACTACCTGTTCCTTAGCCACAGACCACCCATGTACTCCTTGTGGGCTTGTTTCAAGAGTATTTTCTTCATCTATACAGAAACTGGAAATAGCTGAACCTATCTGCTTGATTTTGTGCTGTTTTTCCTTTTGGGAATCTTGACCATGCTCTGACCAAATATTTATTTCATGGCCCCTCTACAGGAGAAAGTGGTTTTGGTTGCAGTACTCTGCCTCAGCTTTTCTTGGTTCTTTCAGACCATCTCTTATAGTCATTCAGAGAAAGTCTATTGGACTTTTTGTAAATAGGAATTGTTCTACTGATTATGAGGAACTTTGTCCTCTAGCTTTATTGTTCGTTCTACTGCTCCTCATATCCTCAGCTCATCTTCCTCCTCTTTGTGTCCTGGGCATTTCTTCCATCTTTGTGGTGCATTGGGACCAGTGTGCCACTCCTAAGCAATGGCAGAGAAGAGCAGAAGTGTTCCTGGGATTTGGAAGTGCTCTTAGGATCTGGCTTGATTCCTGTTGTGCCTGCCATGCACTTCACTCGCCATCTCAGTGGTCCAGATAAGCTGATTCTTCCTCGTGGGTGTGATTTTTTTTTTTCTTGTACTAGGAGTTAAACTCAGGACCTCTCTACTTGTGATGACCTAATTTTTTAAAAATAAAATTAATTGAGCTCAGATTTAATTCCAGTCTGAATCTTATCTCTTGTTTTTAATCAGGAACAAATGTCTTCTATCCCTGTGTCTTTTAGATAGCTTAATGATTGGACCACAGAAGTACATTTCCTTAACTTTTTATATCAAAATTTTGCCAACTATGTGTGCTACTTGCTTACCTTGGAAATGCTTAATTCATGGAATAATTGTGCACAGTAAGCAGTTAATCTTGAGAAGTACTGCTGGAGATCATAAGGGAAATCTTGATTTGACCCCAAGCTAGCACTTGACCATAACCTTCTCAGCTGGTTGGTATCTGTCTGTTTTGTTTCTATATCCTAAGCCCTTGGACTGGAAGCATAGCTGTTCTTGGTCATTATTGCTACTTCCTGACTGCTGTCTTCTTTACTCTGTTAAAGAAAAGATACACTAAGCAGGGCGTGGTGGCGCACACCTGTAATCCCAGTACTTGGGAGGCTGAGGCAGGAGATTGCTGTGAATTCATTGAGTTCCAGAGCAGTCTGAATTACGTAGTGAGACCCTGTCTCAGAAAGGAAGGAAGGAAGGAAGGAAGGAAGGAAGGAAGGAAGGAAGAACGGAAGAACACATTAATAGAAGAATCCCACTCCACTTTGAACCCCATGCTGATCCACCTTTGTTATAGAGTGAATAGCTTACTTATATAAAAATTTGTATATGTAACATGTTCCTTTCCTTCAGTTTATTGATAAACTTAAATATAGATTTTATTTTGGGACCATGAGTATAGGTGTTAAAAATTTTCTGTTCACTATGTTAAAAGCTAAAGATTTTTTATTTGCCCTTTGCTTCCTTTGTTAGAGTAGCATTTTCCAAGGATTACTTGTTTAAGGTGCAAGGATAAGAATTACATTAACAGCATCCTAATTATGTCATCACAACCTTATTAAATACAATTCTGTGTAAGTTGTATCATTGTGCCTAAATGTTATATACTATATATCAAATTGCAGTTTAAATTTTTTTTGTTTGAGTGCAAACCTCATGTATGTGCATGTGTCCTCAAATTTGGTGTGACATACTAATTTAGTACAACATTTTCTTACCTCGGTTTTGTATGAAGCAATGACTTGTAGTACTGAATATCACCAGTATATCTATCTTTCTGGTTTTTAGGTTGTGGAAAATGCCCTTAAAGTGAACCCAGTATTAGGCCCACAAATGTTTCAGCCAATTTTACCCTATGTTTTCAGAGGTATCATAGAAGGAGAGGTAAGACTTTTCTTAAGCGTCTAAGGATAGTATTGGACTCTAGGGTACTAGTTTTAATTATTATCTTTCCTCATTGATTAGTATAAATGACAGCTTGTCTTACCATTTGGAGCATATAAATTAAGTGAATTTTCAGGATCATTAAACATCTTTGCCTTTGCCTTTTCTACACTGAAAAGTATAGATTTCTCTTGACATCTCATGTCTTAACTCATACACATGTGTATTTACATACAATGATTTGAAGTAATGTTTAGTGACTTAATTCCAGTACCTGATTGTTGAGAAATATGAGAAAGAAAAATGGTACTAATATAGTTATAGTCTGAATATATGAAACCAGTAATTATTTTCTAAGCCCAGGTCTTGAATAAATCCATGTAACCATATGTGTTTGTAGAGTAATAAAAATATGCCATTGATATATTCCTTTTATGAATATGTATTTAGACATATACATTATATAATCCATAAAGCATGTATTATATTTAGTTAGAACTCACACAATATTGATAGTTCATTCTGAAGAGAAACTATGAAAGAGAATTGTTATTTTATATTTCCATTGTCATGGTGTTGTTCATGATGGTTATACTTGTACCTTAACACAATTTTATGTGTGTTGTATTTTAATTATACAGAGGTATCCTGTAGTCATGTCCACATATCTTGGAGTTATGGGTCGAGTTCTACTTCAGAATGCTAGTTTCTTTTCTTCACTGCTTAATGAGATGGCACGTAAATTTAACCAGGAGGTAAGAATCCACTTAAAGACATCTTTAACCAAATATAAGTAGGAGATAGTTGATGAAATGAGTCTTTGCAAAAGTTCTTTTGAAGTATTTAAATCTTGACATTATAAGTTTTTAATAATTTATGCTGTACTCTTATTTGGAGTAGGAAAATTTCTATAAAAGGCAGTTGAAACTTTTACATTTTGTACTGATACTCTGGAGCCAAGGATATTTTGTCTGTATTTTGTTTCCTTCCTCAAATAAGCTTTTAATACCACAGATTGAGAAATTTCTGATTATTATGGAAAATAACCTTTTCATCAGTGGTTTGTTAAAAAAATGCTTTAGCCAAAACTGACTACTGTACTTTGGAGTAGGTTCTTAGGGAATTGGTTACTTGAGATTCAATATTGTACATGAGAATCAAATGATTTTTATGTTTTCAGTCATTAAATGTTAAGATTTATAAAATGTAGAAGGTAAAGCATATTTGACTAATATCTCAAGAATGCTGACAATTTATTAAATCTTTTGATGTATGATTAAAATAAATACAATTAATTCAAGGAAATTCATGCTAAGAATGTACACATTTTGTAGTGTATGTAGTTCTTGTAGAATTAGACTGTTCAAATTAGGGATTTCAGATTTTGTTTCAGTGAATACATAATGGATTCTTCTTTAGTTTATTAATTTTGAGTGGGTAGAGATGTTACATGGTTAAAAGCTCATCAGAAGTTTTTGAGTGATTCTAATAATAGTTTTAGGAATAATATAAATTTCATGTGTTTAGCATAAATTATTTTAGATCCTTACAACAAGCCAAAGAGATAATAGTATTTTTATTCCCATGTCATACATGGAAAGCATGGGCCTTAGAGAGATCTGGCAGCTTGCCCAAATTTGTACAGCTGATAAGTGGTATACAAACCCCAGCAACCTAACTTCAGATTCTGGTGTCCTCGTGTCCACATTCTACTGCTTCCCACCTACCCCAGAACAGGCACTTTGCTCCTAAATTCTCTAGACACTTGATTTGACAAGCTTGTAGTACTCTTTTAAGGGCAAAGTACTTAAACAGGCAACTTCATAGTGGTCTAGCACCATGTTAGAGATACACAGTATATACAGTGTGCTATAGAACTAGAAAAGTTGTCTACAGTAAGACTTTTTTAATGAAGAAAAAGTGAGAACTTTGGATTTGGCAAAAATCTCCAATGAAATATTAAATTATTTGAATGTGACTTAATTAGGGATATTATTCTTTAGGCTGCTATCAGCTAAAATAGTATGTGATAATGCATTAAAATAGTTTAACTTTGGGGCCAGGGATTTGGCTCAGTGGTTCTGCCGCCTGCCTTGGAAGTGCAGGGGCTCAAGTTCAATCCCCAGCACCAAAAAAAAAAAAAGTTGAACTTTGTTTATCATATAATTAAAGCACTATGTCAGGCTGCTCTATTCACCTGTTGGTAACTTTGAAGGCAAACACATTTTAAAATTTCAGTGATTTTGATATCCCCACTGAGAAATAACCTAGCGTCCTTTGCCTATAATTTCTGACACTTTTTTTTTTTTTTTTTTTTTG